ATTAGGATTTACATCTCTATTTATACACCCGAGGGAGCTGCGGTCTAGTACTGCGGTCTAAGATATTTGAAATTTTGGTTCGCGCTCATAATTCCCGCTCGGTTCTTTTAAAAATTTTGAAATTCCCGCATTTGTTTGTTTTCGCGGTCTACAACTGAGGTCTACATAACCCTAAACCACAAATTTTATAAAAAACATGAACCAAATATCAAATTTTGTTTGCCATTTACAATATTTATGGTTTGGATAACAAAACAATTAAATATAGAAAAAAAACCAACCAAAAACAAAAATACAAATTGAAACTATCTAAACCCTAAGAATTGGACAACTAAACCCTAAACTATCTATCCAAACTCTTATCAATTTGAAACATTTACTCATGACATTTATAGATTGATTCATTTTTCGTATAATTTATTTTCAATAGATGTCAAATGTATAAGAATTAATTATGCATACAAGTTTTTTATCAAATTATTTTTTATCAATTTTAAAAATTATTTTTAAGATTTCATTTTCCTGTAGACCTCGTTGCTAGACCTCTCACGGTTTTACAAGTTTCTAACCTAATTTGTTTTTGTCAACCTAAATTCACTTATTAACATGTATGTTTATTTTATATGGACTCTAATTGTCTTTGTCTTGTTTATGAATACAAATTTTTCATCTAAATATTTTCTATTTATTTTATAAATTAAAAGTTTCATTTAATTAAACCGTAGACCTCATCCGTAGACCTCTTACGTTTTTACAGCTTTCCAAACTAATTTGCCTATGTTAGTTTAATTTGACTCATTTGTATGCAATTATAATTTTCCAAGATGCAAATTACTATTTATGATTTATGTATGCAAATGGTTTCATCAAAATTTTTTTTTGTTTTTCCCAATTAAAATATAAAATTAAAATACAAGGTAGACCGACTATAAAAGTCTATATGTAGACAGCAAGCGTAGACCTACGCTCCGGGTTAATTTGGTAATCGCGGCAAATTTTTTTTGTTTGTTCATGAGGGTGACCTTTGTAATTTCGCTACCCAAACAGGTTAGTTTTGCAATACTTTCAAGTTTCGGGTTATGGTTATAGAAAAAAGCAAATTTCGGGTTATATGTGGAAATTCTCCCCAAGAGAACTAGATAACTAGAACTACTGCTTCTGCCGGTTTAAACACAACACCTTATGCTAAGCAAAGCCACAAGCGATAAAATGGGGGTTTGAAATGAAAAAGGCTTAGGTTAAGGTGTGGTAACTGTCTCAAAGATGGAGATCAGCTATCTGGACAAGCAAGAGGGATATGAAATAGGTAAAGAATGTCCAGATATGTATGTGGTAGCCATGAGTTGAAATCAAATGCAAGCATTGGTAATTAAAGATCAAGTTATGGTTCAAATAGATAGGGAAATGCATCAAATCACAGCAATGGTTGAATGAGATGTGCATGCAGTGATATGATCAAGATAAACATGGTTCTTGCTGCTCAATCAATCTCACCCTAATGCACAAAAGAATCTAAAATAGGGCACTCAAGAAATCGCAAATGATGAACAAGTTTTCAAAGATCAAATCAACAATGCACAACTAAATGAATGCAATCCTAAACAAGTCTAACAAATATGAATGCAAAAAGATGAAAATATTTTTGGATTTTTTGAAAATTTTATGATTTTTTTGGTTTTTCTATGCAAATAAAGATGAAAAACTAAGAACAAAGAAAACAAGGTTAAATCATCTCTTGAACCCTCCCCCAAACTTAAATCACACAGTCCCTTGTGTGAGAGAAATTCAGTGAAAGATTCAAGAGGCAAAAACCAAGAAAATAAAGAAAAATGCAAGATATATGAAATGGTATTTACAAGGGTTGTGGTGTTTGATACCTTAGTGCCCCCCAAAGAACTGGGAGCAAGGTCGTGGTCTGGAGAGAGACGGCCATCAGGAGCACTCCACTCGACTATTCATGCAGCTTGATCGAGCTTGCGGCTCTTCCTCTTCTTCTCCCTCACCATTTTTTCCATGGACTTTTGCATTTTCTCCATGGCTTTCCCTTGCCACTTGTTGAGCTTTTGGAGAAGCCCAATCTTCTTGTGAGAAGCCACAACAGAGGGGTTCATCCTTGGAGCTTCATACTCCTCAAAATAGTAGCAGTCAGGCTCATCCAACTCCTCTTCCACTTGAGCTCGATCCTCAGCTCGAGCCTCAGCTCGATCCCCAACTGGATCGAGTTCAGGCTCCTTTTCTCGCAAATCATCCTCATGCCCAACTAATGTGTAAATTGGGGGGCGAAAGTCAATGTTCTCACCCCTGATGACCGTGGTGAGTTCAGGGTTGGCCAGGAGCAGCTTGGAAGGGCCAGCCGTGGGGTGTGTGAACTTGAATTGATATCTCCCATTCAATTCCTTGTGATCAATGAGGAGGTTGGTCTTGCAAAACTTGATGTCCATCCACCCCGCTGGAGTTACCTTCTTCTTGTTTAGCTGGACACCAGCTGCGCAGAGGATAGGTGTGATGATCCCTCCAACGCTCAGCCTCCTTCCTTGTTGAAATCGAGTGCTATAGGCTGTGGTGCTGTAGGAGAGTAGTTGATCGAGGAGGGGCATGAGGTTTCCTGCGTGTGCTCTATCTCCCCTGAGCTTCTTTCCATCCCTGGTGCGTGAGATGATGGGCTTAATCCCCATGTCAAGTAGCTTGACTTCTCCTTCATTGATCGTCCCTGTTGCCTTCCTTGCAAAGAAGGTGGTTGCAAGGGCTTTGTGCACATATCTGATGTACTTGCATTTTACATAGTTTTAGTACATCTTTTATGCATCTTTTGCATAGTTTTAGCATCCATTAGCATCATATCTTGTTCCTTTTCTCTTCTTATGCATTCATAGTAGTTTTAGGTTGCATTTGCATACATATGCATGTTTGGTCCTTTGAAATAGGTCTTTTGGAGCATTCTGGAGCATATGGGACGTGAGGAGCATGGAAGGACTTGGTGCATGGACGCAGCTCAACTGGATACGCAAAGGAAGAAGGAGGAAGCCATCTTGAAGACCAGCTCGACCACCTACTCGACCAACCGGTCGAGTTCCTCAACTCGACCGGCCAAGCTTCAACTCGATCGAGCTGAGAAGTCAAAGTCAAACCCGAAAAATGTTGCTTCCCCCTTGACTTTCCTTTGACCCTAAACCTAATCCTCTTTGTATTTAAAGGCTAAAAGCCACGAAAAAACCACCAAGCTTTAGATTACTTTTGTTTTAGCTTCTTTTTAATTTATTGTCTTTTACTTTTTAGAGCTCTAATCCCATCTTTGTGTTCTTGAAGCTCTTGCTTCTTGAATCCTAGATCCTGGATAATCTCTTTTGTATTTGCACTTGCTTATTTCAATAAAAGTTGTTTATCTTTATCTCCTCTTTCATTTGATGTCTTATTTCATTGCATTTGCTTGTGTTTACATTCATGTGTAGTGAGTAGTTACCCATTAGGGTTTGAGATGGGATAGATTAGGGGTTTCATATGCTTAATCCTTCTTGCTTATGGTCTTAATCTAGATTCTCTCTCTTTTGGATAAATCTTAAGGCTACATGACCACTACCCCTGGCTTGTATGTCATTAGGCGATTCTCCACATGGAAGTGATGGAAATCGCTGGAAAAATCCACTAAGAGCTCCAATAACTCTTGCTCTCGAAATGGAGTTCATAGGGGTTGGATGGATTAGTTTGGGCAATGATCCTATGGCCTCCAAGGTTTGATTCTCACTGGCTAACCCCCTGTTTCTGAGATCATTCCTTGGTTGATAGCTTCACCTTGGGAAAGGGTTGGCTAGGCATTGAGAAGCCCAATATCAAGAGAAGCCTTGATACAAGGAGTTTTAAGAGCAGATGATTAAGTGTAGCTTCCCCTGATTGCAAAACCCTGTCTTGAACCCTAATTCTCGCATTAGCTTGTTAAAGTCGCTGCCTTTATGCTTTTTACTTCAACTCGACCCTAAACTCGATCGAGCTCGGTACTCTGTTCCACTCGACTCGAGTCCTTGGTCGAGCTGTTGCTTACTGCTTTATTTACTTATTGCATTGCATTTCTTTTTTAGGTTGTTAGTGTTACCCCATATATTTACTGCTTGCTTGACTTCCTTGTTATTTCATATTCTCATAGAGTGACACTTCCCCATTTTGGATTGATACCCTTTATGCTATAACGACTATATGGTTAAAGGGAATTGTTGACTGTGATTTGTGTTTGCATCTTACCACCTCATCATATACCACTGTTGCATTCCACCACATTCATTTCATATCTTTCACACCACACACAAATCCTATCATCAATTTGGCGCCGTTGCCGATTTGGGTTATTTTTGTTGCATTTGAGTTTCAAATACACTTGGACGATCAAGCTATACCACCCCTGTTCTTTGTACTGCTGGGTTTTTGTCTCTTTTTGCAGGTGTATGCGAACTCGATCGAGTCGGTCTACAGAAGACTTGGTCGAGCTAGACTACAACGGGTAGAAAGAGGTTCAGAGGTCACAGAGGGTACAAGAGGAACCTGAGGTGCTTGTTGCTGATACAATGGATGTACCAGAGGGGAATGGAAACCCTTTGGGCAATGGACTCGGTCGAGCTAGGCAAACTCGACCGATTGGTCTAGGAGATGCTCCAAACCGCCACCAACAGAGACAAGGGATTGTTCCACCACCAGTGCAGAACCACAACTTTGAGATCAAGCTGGGAATGATCAACCTTGTTCAGAACAAGATGTTCCATGGATTGCCAAGTGAAGACCCCATTGACCACCTTGATGAGTTTGATAGGCTTTGTGATTTGACAAAGATCAATGGTGTCTCTGAAGATGCCATCAAGCTGAGACTCTTTCCTATGTCTCTAGCTGACAAAGCTCACCAATGGGAGAAGAGCTTGCCCCATGGCACAATCACCACTTGGGATGAATGCAAGAAGGCCTTTCTTGCTAAGTTTTTCTCCACCGGTCGCACAGCCAAGCTTAGGAGGAGATATCGAGCTTCATACAGCGAAACAATGAGACATTCGCAGAGGCTTGGGAGAGGTTCAAAGCTACACAAGTCAGTGCCCACACCATGGATTCAACAATGAATCACTACTCTCCACTCTTTATAGAGGATGCTTGGCAAGGTATAGGGAGATGCTTGACACAGCCAGCAATGGGAACTTCCTCAATCAGGATGTGGATGATGGCTGGAGCTTGTGGAGAACATTGCAAACTCCAATGGAAGCTATGGAGAAGAGTATGGAGAAGAGTATGATCGCACCAATCGGAGCTCGACCCACCACTCGATCGAGTCAGATGAAAATTGAGAAAAGATGTTAAGGCATTGAATGAGAAGTTGGATAAGCTGATCTTAGCTCAGTCCACAATGAAGAAAGTCAACTTTGTGTCTGCTGAAGAGATGGAACCAGTCCAAGAAGGGGAGGATACACAATTTGCTGAGGTGTGCTACATGAGCAATGGGCAAGGAGGTTACAACAAAGGATACTATAATTACAAGTCCAACCCTGCCATGTCATACCGAAACACTGATGTTGCTAACCCTCAGGACCAGGTCTATCCTCAACAACAAGCTCGATCGAGTCAAGCCCCACAACATGGGTATGGTCAAAAGAACAATTACCAAGGACCCCAAGGGACTTTTCCTGGTCAACAAATGAATATACCACCTGGCTTTCCCCACCAACCACCCCAGCCTGCACCTACGCAAGAGAATGAGCTCAAGGCAATGCTGAAACAATTGCTTCAAGGGCAAGCTGATGGTGGTAGTGGACACAAGCAAGAAGCTAGCTGAAATCAACTCCAAGATCGAGAATCTCAACACAAGAGTTTACTCTCTGGAGAATCATGCTTCTTCTGTTGCTGCTGCTACAAAGCAAGGACAACTACCTGGTAAAGCTATTCAGAACCCCAAGGAACAGTGCAAGGTCATCTTCACTCAAGAGGACTTTGAAGAAGAGGATCAAGAAGTCATTGAAGAGTTTTGTTTACTGCTGAATGATGATGAGATTGTTGCTGCTGAGGCTCCTGGAGTCCAGATTGATCAACCAGAAGTGCAGGCACCTACTGTGGCCATTCACACTTCACCAGTTGAGCTCGCACAACAAGCTCGATCGGCAGCTCGATCGAGTCAACTCTAGCTCGATCGAGTCCGACCTCATCTGTCCCAAAGCCATTTTGCTTGATCCTTACCAACCGGTTGACCGCTTCCTCGTCTCGCCTACTTAGTCAAGGTCACAAGGAAGTGATTCACAAGTTCAGAAGAGATCTCAGTGGGATTGGAATTGAGTTGCCTCCTATGGAAAGCATGAGTGAGGCATTTGATCAAATGCAAATGGTCAAGGATGTTATGGCCAACAGTGATAAAGTTTCAGAGGTCTGAAGGAGTCTACTCATCAATTCAACCTGCTTACTTCACCAACTTTCTTACCAAAGGTGAAGGATCAAGGGAAATTCACTCTCCCTTGCACACTTGGGCATCTTGAGCTTGACAATGCCTTGGTGGATTCTGGAGCAAGCATCAATCTGATCTCTCTCTCAATGGCAGAGAAGCTAGGCATTGCTGGAGCTTGCAGCGCCCTACTACTTCAATCATGTTTGGAGATGCAACTTCTAAGTCTCCTCTTGGTGTGTTCAAGAACTATCACTTGAAAATTGGAGAATGCATCATCCAAACTGATCTTACTATCATGGAGATGGAAGAAGAGAAGGATCTACCTCTGTTATTGGGAACCCCATTCCTTAGTACAACCCCATTCCTTAGTACAGTTGGCGCTTCAATAGACTTTCACAAGCAAGAGGTGATTCTTCACAAGGTGAATAGTTTGGTGTCATATCGCATGCAGCCTAGACCTGATAGACTTGTTCAAGCCCCTTGTGTGCTTGATGAAGAGAGCCTACAAGCTTTGTTTGATGAGCCACTAGGAAGGGCTCTAAAAGAAGGGGAGGATGTAGCCTCTAAGGCAAGACCAGGTGATAACTCGATCGAGTCAAGAGAAAGCTCGATCGAGTGAGCCTCAAGAGGCAACCCCAGTTGCATGGAGCGCTCCTGATGGCCGTCTCCCATCTCCAGACCACGACCTAGCCTCCCAGTTCTTTGGGGGGCACTGAGGTATCCAAACACCAACCCTTGTATATACCATTTCATATTTTCTTGCTTTGTTCTTGTTTTTTCTTGGTTTTGCCCTCTTGAATCTTTCACTGAATTTTTCTCACACAAGGGACTGTGTGATTTAAGTTTGGGGGAGGGTTCAAGAGATGATTTAACCTTGTTTTCTTTGTTCTTAGTTTTTCATTTATCTTTTGCATAGAAAAACCAAAAAAATCATAAAATTTTCAAAAAATCCAAAAATATTTTCATCTTTTTGCATTCATATTTGTTAGACTTGTTTAGGATTGCATTTTCACTTGCATTGTTGATTTGACTTTGAAAACTTGTCCATCTTTTGCGATTTCTTGAGTGCCCTGTTTTTAGATTCTTTTGTGCATTAGGGTGAGATTGATTGAGCAGCAAGAACCATGTTTATCTTGATCATATCGCTGCATGCACATCTCATTCAACCATTGCTGTGATTTGATGCATTTCCCTATCTATTTGAACCATAACTTGATCTTTAATTACCAATGCTTGCATTTGATTTCAACTCATGGCTACCACATACATATCTGGACATTCTTTACCATTTTCATATCCCTTTGCTTGTCCAGATAGCTGATCTCTATCTTTGAGACAGTTACCACACCTTAAACCTAAGCCTTTTCATTTCAAACCCCTTATTATCTCTTGTGCGAATGTGAGAACCTTTCTTGGCTTTGCTTAGCATAAGGTGTTGTGTTTAAACCGGCAGGGGCAGTAGTTCTAGTTGTCTAGTTCTCTTGGGATTGTTTTCAGGCTAAGTTTGGGGGTGCCAACTCGAGCTCGATCGAGTTGGGTGTAAAAACCAGAAAAGTGGTAAAAATTGGGAAAAACCCAAAGGAAAAAGAGTTTGGTTAAGTCCAGGGAGTTGGCAGTGTTAAAAGGGTCTAGTAAAGGTTTGGGAAGTTAAAAAAGGAAAGTAAAAAGGGTTCTAAGTAGAATGAAAAGAAGGCAAAGCCTCAAGTGTCAAAAAGGAAGAAAAGTTCCCTAAGTGTTTAGAAAATCCCAAACCGCTAGATGTTACCTCAAGAAGCCTCTCCCTAGGAAGAAAAGCAAAGCTCCTCAGTTTCAAAGGCGAAATGCCAAAAAGGGTAGTTAGGATTTTGTTCTAAAAAGCTCTAAGTGTTGAACTCGATCGAGTTAGGATTAGGCGGCTCGAGCTGCTGTTCTTGCATCATCTTTGGTTCTAACACTTAGCCTTCTGCCAAAGCAAAGCCACTTTCTTGAGAGATCCCTGTTACTAAACCACCATACAAAAGAGACCCTCTTTGTCTCTTAACCCATAAACCCTTGAAACCAAATGAGTTGATTGATCTTGCATGTTTTTGGTTCACTGTTTTTGCTTAATGAATGTTAAAGGGATTTGCTGATTTGAATGCATTGTTTGAGTGACTGTGAAGTGGGATTGATGTTGATAAGCATGGTTAAATCTTAATGAATATCTCTCACCTTGTTGCATTCTAGAATCTCTAAGTTGGACATTTAGCAAATCGCTTTTGAGGACATGTTTTTAAGTGTTGAATCAGCTGTTTTCAAACCTCATCCCTTTCTTGTTCTATTTGTTTGCTTGAGGGCAAGCAAAGTTCAAGTTTGGGGGTGTTGATGTACTTGCATTTTACATAGTTTTAGCACATCTTTTATGCATCTTTTGCATAGTTTTAGCTTCCATTTGCATCATATCTTGTTCCTTTTCTCTTCTTATGCATTCATGTTAGTTTTAGGTTGCATTTGCATACATATGCATGTTTGGTCCTTTGAAATAGGTCTTTTGGAGCATTCTGGAGCATATGGGACATGAGGAGCATGGAGGGACTTGGCACATGGAAGCAGCTCAACTGGATACGCAAAGGAAGAAGGGAGAAGCCATCTTGAAGACCAGCTCGACTCGACCAACCGGTCGAGTTCCTCAACTCGACCGGCCAAGCTTCAACTCGATCGAGCTGGGGAGTCAAAGTCAAACCCGAAAAATGTTGCTTCCCCCTTGACTTCCTTTGACCCTAAACCTAATCCTCTTGTATTTAAAGGCTCTAAGCCACGAAAAAACCACCAAGCTTTAGATTATTTTGTTTTAGCTTTTCTTTAATTTATTGTCTTTTACTTTTTAGAGATCTAATCCCATCTTTGTGTTCTTGAAGCTCTTGCTTCTTGAATCTTAGATCCTGGATAATCTCTTTGTATTTGCACTTGCTTATTTCAATAAAAGTTGTTTAATTTCATCTCCTCTTTCTTATGATGTCTCTTTTATTGCATTTGCTTGTGTTTACATTCATGTGTAGTGAGTAGTTACCCATTAGGGTTTGAGATGGGATAGATTAGAGGTTTCATATGCTTAATCCTTCTAGCTTATGGTCTTAATCTAGATTCTCTCTCTTTTGGATAGATCTTAAGGCTACATGACCACTACCCCTGGCTTGTAAGTCCTTAGGCGACTCCCCACACGAAGTGATGGCATTCGCTGGAAAAGATCCACTAAGAGCTCCAATATCTCTTGCTCTAGACAATAGAGGTCTAAGGGGTTGGATGGATTAGTTTGGGCAATGATCCTATAGCCTCCAAGGTTTGATTCTCACTGGCTAACCCCCTGTTTCTGAGATCATTCCTTGGTTGATAGCCTCCACCTTGGGAAAGGGTTGGCTAGGCATTGAGAAGCCCAATATCAAGAGAAGCCTTGATACAAGGAGTTTTAAGAGCTAGATTGATTAAGTGTAGATTCCTTTGATTGCAAAACCCTGTCTTGAACCCTAATTCTCTCTTTATCTTGTTAAAGTCGTCACCTTTAGCTTTTTTGTCTCAACTCGTCCCTAAACTCGATCGAGCTGGTACTCTGCCACTCGACTCGAGCTCTTGGTCGAGCTACTTCACTGCTTTGTTTACTTTTATTGCACTGCTTTTCATTTTTAGGTTGTTAGTGTTACTTCAAATCTATAACTGCTTGCTTGACTTTCTGGTTGTTTCATATTCTCATAGAGTGACAAGTTTCCCATTTTGGATTGATAACCTCTTATACTTCAATGACTATGATGGTTAAGAGGAATTGATTGATTGTGATTGCACCATACCATTTCATCTTTATTCACCCCTGTTTGCATTCCACCTCATTTCTTATCACACCACAATATCCTATCATCAGGTTTTGATCTCCCTTTGTACCTTATCTTGTACTCAATCTTTCCATTTTCAAATTTGGTGGGAAACAAGGTCATAGTGAGCTGAGATGGCTTGGCTGAGGAAACCTGAGCTGGTGGGTTCTTTCTTTTCTCTCCCACAAGTGCCTTTGAGGCTGCATCCTCCCCTTCTTTTTGAGCGCTTCCTAGTGGCTCATCAAACAAAGCTTGGAGGCTTTCCTCATCAAGGACACATGGTGCTTGAACAAGTCTATCAGCTCGTGGCCTATCAGATCGTGGTCTCTCAAGTCTAGGTCTCTCAAGGCGTGGTTTCTCAATCCTTGGTCCTTTATCAACTCCTTTGTCCTTCTCAACCTTATCTCTCACAACTCTTGGCTCTTTTTCAACTTTTTCCTTCACAACCTTTAGCAACTTCAGGACTCTTGGATTTAAGAGGAGTGCTTTGAATGGTACCACAAACTCTGATCCTCTAGGCTGCAAGCGAAAAGACACCAAACTATTCACTTTGTGGAGATCACTTCTTGCTTGTGAAAGTCTATTGAAGCGCCAACTGTGCTAAGGAATGGGGTTCCCAATAGCAGAGGTAGATCCTTCTCTTCTTCCATCTCCATGACAGTGAGATCAGTTTGGATGATGCATTCTCCAATTTTCAAGTGATAGTTCTTGAACACTCCAAGAGGAGACTTAGAAGTTGCATCTCCAAACATGATTGAAGTAGTAGGGCGCTGCAAGCTCCAGCAATGCCTAGCTTCTCTGCCATTGGAGAGAGAGATCAGATTGATGCTTGCTCCAGAATCCACAAGGCATTGTCAAGCTCAAGATGCCCAAGTGTGCAAGGGAGAGTGAATTTCCCTTGATCCTTCACCTTTGGTAGAAAGTGGGTGAGGTAAGCAGGTTGATTTGATGAGTAGACTTTCCAGAAGCTCTGAAACTTTATCACTGTTGGCCATAACATCTTGACATTTCATTTGATCAAATGCCTCACTCATGCTTTCCATAGAAGGCAACTCAATTCCAATCTCACTGAGATCTCTTCTGAACTTGTGAATCACTTCCTTGTGACCTTGACTAAGTAGGCGAGACGAGGAGGTCAACGGTTGGTAAGGATCAAGCAAAATCGGCTTTGGGACAGAGAGGTCGGACTCGATCGAGCTAGAGTTGGACTCGATCGAGCTGCCGATCGAGCTTGTTGTGCGAGCTCAACTGGTGAAGTGTGAATGGCCACAGTAGGTGCCTGCACTTCTGGTTGATCAATCTGGACTCCAGGAGCCTCAGCAGCAACAATCTCTTCATCATTCAGCAGTAAACAAAATCTTCAATGACCCTTTCTTGATCCTCTTCTTCAACAAGTCCTTCTTGAGTGAAGATGACCTTGCACTGTTCCTTGGGGTTCTGAATAGCTTTACCAGGTAGTTGTCCTTGCTTTGTAGCAGCAGCAACAGAAGAAGCATGATTCTCCAGAGAGTAAACCCTTGTGTTGAGATTCTCGATCTTGGAGTTTATTTCAGCTAGCTTCTTGCTTGTGTCCACTACCCCATCAGCTTGCCCTTGAAGTAGTTGCTTTAGCATTGCCTTGAGCTCATTCTCTTGTAGGTGCAGGCTGGGGTGGTTGGTGGGGAAAGCCTGGTGGGATATTCATTTGTTGTCCAGGAAAGTCCCTTGGGGTCCTTGGTAATTGTTCTTTTGACCATACCCATGTTGTGGGCTTGACTCGATCGAGCTGCTTGTTGTTGAGGATAGACTTGGTCCTGAGGGTTAGCAACATCAGTGTTGCGGTATGACATGGCAGGGTTGGACTTGTAATTATAGTATCCTTTGTTGTAACCTCCTTGCCCATTGCTCATGTAGCACACCTCAGCAAATTGTGTATCCTCCCCTTCTTGGACTGGTTCCATCTCTCAGCAGACACAAAGTTGACTTTCTTCATTGTGGACTGAGCTAGATCAGCTTATCCAACTTCTCATTCAATGCCTTAACATCTTTTCTCAATTTCTCTGACTCGATCGAGTGGTGGGTCGAGCTCCGGTTGGTGCGATCATACTCTTCTCCATAGCTTCCATTTGAGTTGCTATGTTCTCCACAAGTTGCCAGCCATCATCTACATCCTGGTTGAGGAAGTTCCCATTGCTAGCTGTGTCTAGCATCTCCCTATACCTTGCAAGCATCCTCTATAAAGAGTGGAGAGTAGTGATTCATTGTTGAATCCATGGTGTGGGCACTGACTTGTGTAGCCCTTTGAACCTCTCCCAAGCCTCTGCGAATGTCTCATTGTTTCGCTGATGAAGCTGGATATCTCCTCCTCTAAGCTTGGCTGTGCGACCGGTGGAGAAAAACTTAGCAAGAAAGGCCTTCTTGCATTCATCCCAAGTGGTGATTGTGCCATGGGGCAAGCTCTTCTCCCATTGGTGAGCTTTGTCAGCTAGAGACATAGGAAAGAGTCTCAGCTTGATGGCATCTTCAGAGACACCATTGATCTTTGTCAAATCACAAAGCCTATCAAACTCATCAAGGTGGTCAATGGGGTCTTCACTTGGCAATCCATGGAACATCTTGTTCTGACAAGGTTGATCATTCCCAGCTTGATCTCAAAGTTGTGGTTCTGCACTGGTGGTGGAACAATCCCTTGTCTCTGTTGGTGGCGGTTTGGAGCATCTCCTTGACCAATCGGTCGAGTTTGCCTAGCTCGACCGAGTCCATTGCCCAAAGGGTTTCCATTCCCCTCTGGTACATCCATTGTATCAGCAACAAGCACCTCAGGTTCCTCTTGTACCCTCTGTGACCTCTGAACTCTCTTTCTACCCGTTGTGAAGTCTAGCTCGACCAAGTCTTCTGTAGACCGACTCGATCGAGTTCGCATACACCTGCAAAAAGAGACAAAAACCCAGCAGTACAATAGAACAGGGGTGGTATAGCTTGATCGTCCAAGTGTTTGAAACTCAAATGCAACAAAATTCCCAAATCGGCAACGGCGCCAAATTGATGATAGGATTTGTGTGTGATGTGATGATATGAGGTGGAATGCAACAGTGGTAAATAGATGGTGGTATGGTGCAAACACAATCACAATCAATCAATTCCCTTAACCATCATAGTCATTGAAGTATAAGGGTTATCAATCCAAAATGGGAAATCTTGCTCTTTGAGAATATGAAACAACCAGAGACAGTAAAAAGATGATAAGTAACACTAACAACCTAAAGAAATGAAATGCAGTGCAATAAGTAAAGAAAGCAGTAAAGCAAGCAGCTCGACCAAGGACTCGAGTCGAGTGGGAACAGAGTACCAGCTCGATCGAGTTTAGGGTCGAGTTAGGTAAAAAGCGATAAAGCAGGAACTTTAACAAGCTAATGCGAATTAGGGTCTAAGACAGGGTTTTACAATAGAGGAAGCTATACTTAATCAATCTTGCTCTTAAAACTTGTATCAAGGCTATCTCTTGATATTGAGCTTCTCAATGCCTAGCTAACCCTTTCCCAAGGTGAAAGCTATCAACCAAGGAATGATCTCAGAAACAGGGGGTTAGCCAGTGAGAATCAAGCCTTGGAGGCCATAGGATCATTGCTCAAACTAATCCATCCAACCCCTATGAACTCCATTTCGAGAGCAAGAGTTATTGGAGCTCTTAGTGGACCTTTTCCAGCGATTTCCATCACTTCCATGTGGAAATCGCCTAATGACATACAAGCCAGGGGTAGTGGTCATGTAGCCTTAAGATTATCCAAAAGAGAGAGATCTAGATTAAGACCATAAGCAAGAAGGATTAAGCATGAAACCTCTAATCTATCCCATCTCAAACCCTAATGGGTAACTACTCACTACACATGAATGTAAACACAAGCAAATGCAATGAAATAGACATCAAAGAAAGAGGAGATGAAATAAACAACTTTTATTGAAATAAGCAAGTGCAAATACAAAGAAATATCCAGGATCTAGGATTCAAGAAGCAAGAGCTTCAAGAACACAAAGATGGGATTAGGTTGCTAAAAAGTAAAAGACAAAATTAAAGAAAGCTAAAACAAAATAAGCTAAAGCTTGGTTGTTTTTTCGTGGCTTAGAGCCTTTAAATACAAGAGGATTAGGTTTAGGGTCAAAGGAAGTCAAGGGGGAAGCAACATTTTTCGGGTTTGACTGTTGACTTCTCAGCTCGATCGAGTTGAAGCTTGGCCGGTCGAGTTGAGGAACTCGACCGGTTGGTCGAGTAGACGGTCGAGCTGGTCTTCAAGATGGCTTCCTCCTTCTTCCTTTGCGTGTCCAGTTGAGCTGCGTCCATGCGCCAAGTCCCTTCCATGCTCCTACGTCCCATATGCTCCAAATGCTCCAAAAGACCTATTTCAAAGGACCAAACATGCATATGTATGCAAATGCAACCTAAAACTACTATGAATGCATAAGAAGAGAAAAGGAACAAGATATGATGCTAATGGATGCTAAAACTATGCAAAAGATGCATAAAAGATGTACTAAAACTATGTAAAATGCAAGTACATCAACCACTAAGCCATTTAAGCTCACATGTTGCATCCGCCATAGACCAATATTCCGCTTCTGCAGATGAACGTGAGACGGTACGTTGTTTCTTTGTCTTCCAAGAGATAAGAGAATCACCAATAAAAACAGCGTAAGAGTTGAGACACCGTCGTGTTCGCGGACAAGCATTATAGTCAGAATCATAAAGCCGTAAGCTTCATATCACAATCAGATCGTAACATTATACCCTGTCCAGGACATCCTTTGAGATACTTGACAACTCGTAACCCTGCAAGCCAATGTTCCTCCAATGGATTCTGCATAAACTGGGACAGAATATGAACATTGTAGCTGAGCTCCAGACGTGTAAAAGTGAGATAGATATGACGTCCAATCAGACGTCTATACTGTTGGGGATTCGTATGTGGTAGAGCTGAAGCAAGAGCGAGTTTGTGATTTAATTCTGTTGGAACAGAGCATGGTTTAGCATTAAGAAGACCAGCCTCAACAATGATGTCGAGAGCATATTTTCGTTGTGAAACATAAATCCCTTCTGGTCCACGAGCAATTTCAAGCCCAAGAAAATATTTTAATTTTCCCAAATCCTTCATGTGAAAACATTGGTGAAGGTAGTGCTTGAATCGCTCATTAGTAGAGACATCATTCCCTGCAATAATAAAATCATCCACATATACCAAGATGTGAAGACTTATATTGCCCTGAGTAAGTGAGAATAACGAATAGTCTTCATAGCATTGCAAAAAAACCGAAATTCTTGAGAGCTTGACTAAGTTTAGAAAACCAACACCTACGTGCTTGCTTCAGTCAATATAGAGATTTCCTTAGTCGACTGATGCGGGTTTAGATTGCCTCAAATTTTCACAATTTATAAACCCAACTAGTTGAGCTGTCAAGTGCACAGCCGTGTTGTAGTCGGGGTCGAACACGAGGAGGAAGTGTTCTCTGCTTAACACCTTGTGAGATTGGTTGTAGCTAGCTCGCAATATGAGATGGTTTTGGACCTAAAATAAGAAAGCAAAACAAAAGAAATGTGAGTGAGGTTGTAAACAATTTAAAACAAGAGTTAGGCAAAGGACAATCATATGGAGCAATGATGAAAAGATAGTTGCATGGGATGTGTGTAGAGCCGTCTTGAACATGAATCACTAGTGTATGGTCTTTCCACTGTCGTGGCTCCAACCACTATGTTTAAAACAACCTAATATACTCAGCTTTCGTTGGCTATTAGATTGCAAACATGCATTAAAGGTGATCAAGATTCAATTGTTCACAATGAACCATAACTCAACTTTCGTTGGCTATGATCTATTGCTCACCAAATACTAGTTTTGAGATCTAGATTCAGCACTGTCGTGGTTCTATTTCTCTAAGATCAGATTACTAGATGTACGGTAGAGTAATCATGCATTAAGTTCAAGTAAAGGTGAAGATCCATAAGATAAATCCCAATAAGTTGCAACACAATCAAATCATCACGGCCACCATAGATCTCCTCGGCCTAACTAAGAGATCTACTCGGCCATGATGCAAACAAGCAAGCAAAGCATGATTGAAAGCATTATGCAAGTATTAAAAGAGATAAAGGGATGAAGAAAGCTTCTCTATTGATGAACAAAGTCGGATTCTCCCTTGAAAACTCTTAGAAATCAAGTTTATAGAAATGGAAACAATGAAAAAGAAAGAACAAGAGTTGAGCGGCGCCTCCTTCTTCTTGGACGATCTCCTAGGGCTTCTCTCTTGGCGGCTCTCTTCTCACACTCTCTTTCACAAACTCACACCCGACTCTCTTCTTCAGCGGCTAAAAACATGTATATATGGGCGAAGTCGAGTAGGGTTTTCTTCATGCCGGAAAAGGAAAGTTTCCCATGAGCCGAGCCTTCTTCTCCACGTCGTGTATGGGCCGACATTGTACCAAGGAAAGCTCCAAACATTAGCCAGGCCTCTTCTTTATTCGATCAAGGCCTTTGGCGCTGCTGCTCGGGCCATTAGACACTCCAAATCCTCCATGGGCTTCGTTTGCTCGCTTACCGGACATGTCTCGGTAGAAAATAAGTTAGGCCTCATATGTTGATCCAAATGGCTTCATTCCACTTCGACGTGATGCATGACTCAAGTATCTATCTTTCCATATCAAGATCGTGAACTTTTGGACGTCGGGAACTCCTCCGCCGCGGCCAAACTTCCGAAGCTTCGTTCTGCGCGCTAGCGAGAACTAACACTTGGAGATAAAATGATGTTCTTGACTTGGAAACTTGCATGGATCTTGGTTTGAGGGCTCTTTTACTCCTTTTTGCATCCTTTTTGATGGTTTCACCTACAAAGACTTCAAATCCCACAAATACAAGAAAACTACCTCTAAAGGCAAAGAATCTTGCAAAAACCGTTTGAAAACATAAATAGTTATATAGTAAAATCATGTAAAATATGGTGAAATCATCGACATACGTTAGAAGGATCATCACTTTCAAAGCCTGGAGGTAACTTCATATAACTTTCCTCATCGAGATCTCCATGTAAGAAAGCGTTATGTACGTCCATTTGACAAACCGTCCATCCTTGTTCCGAAGTTACAGCTAAAAGAAATCGAACCGTGGCCATTTTAGGGACTGGAGCATACCTGTCGGTGTATTCAATTCCTTCTATCTAGGTAAAAGCTTAATTGTATTGATTCACATAGCATGGTATTTGTACAAGAATGGTAACGACTATGAAACCTCACACAATAGAAAGTTATCCTTACTACAATATAGGAATATATTCTTATCTCAATAATCTTTCTCTTTTAGAAAGTGTTATGAGGGAAATTCAAGCCTGAGCTTCAAGTTGGCATCAATCAGATAAAAATGGCTTAAAGATGGTTTTTCCCAAATGATGATCCAAAATAATTGTTAGAATATCATTTTGGTTTGATGGTGTAATAATAATTGTGTGATTCAAAATCAACCAAAACAATTTAAGACCAGCCTTTTGTTAGAGGAGAAATTAGCACATTTCCCTGAGCCCGTCATCATTAGTAAAATCACAAAGTCCAATCCGACTTTAGGCCTACCCTCCTCAACAAAATGGCAAGACTTGAGGAGAAAGGCACAACTCATGAGAAAATGTAAACAAACCCTCATGCCGACTCGAAAAATGGGAAGTTTGTGATTCACCAAGGAGCCAACCTATCAACATTATATAATGATGGAGGGAGTTTTCCATATCGCTAAAGAGGAAGTTTTCCATATCGCCGGAAGGAAAATATTCACCAAGGAGCCGACCTATCAACATTATATAATGATGGAGGGATCGGATCATCTAGAATTACTCACAAGAAATCTAGGCTTAGCATTCTCTTTACTTTCCTCTTCGCTTTCCTCTTGTTCATCATAGTTCATCTCGTCAAGCATATTGGCGAGATAACATCTTTTGTAATCTTCCTGATATTCTTCGAGTTAANAGATTGAGTTGTAGCTAGCTCGCAATATTGGATGGTTTTGGACCTAGAATAAGAAAGCAAAACAAAAGAAATGTGAGTGAGGTTGTAAACAATTTAAAACAAGAGTTAGGCAAAGGACAATCATATGGAGCAATGATGAAAAGATAGTTGCATGGGATGTGTGTAGAGCCGTCTTGAACATGAATCACTAGTGTATGGTTTCCACTGTCGTGGCTCCAACCACTATGTTTAAAACAACCTAATATACTCAGCTTTCGTTGGCTATTAGAATTGCAAACATGCATTAAAGGTGATCAAGATTCAATTGTTCACAATAACCATAACTCAGCTTTCGTTGGCTATGATCTATTGCTCACCAAATACTAGTTTTGAGATCTAGATTCAGCACTGTCGTGGTTCTATTTCTCTAAGATCAGATTACTAGATGTACGGTAGAGTAATCATGCATTAAGCTCAAGTAAAGGTGAAGATCCATAAGATAAATCCCAATAAGTTGCAACACAATCAAATCATCACGGCCACCATAGATCTCCTCGGCCTAACTAAGAGATCTACTCGGCCATGATGCAAACAAGCAAGCAAAGCATGATTGTAAACATTATGCAAGTATTAAAAGAGATAAAGGGATGAAGAAAGCTTCTCTATTGATGAACAAAGTCGGATTCTCCCTTGAAAACTCTTAGAATCAAGTTTATAGAAATGGAAACAATGAAAAAGAAAGAACAAGAGTTGAGCGGCGCCTCCTTCTTCTTGGACGATCTCCTAGGGCTTCTCTCTCTCCTCTCTTCTCACACTCTCTTTCACAAACTCACACCGACTCTCTTCTTCAGCGGCTAAAAACATGTATATATGGGCGAAGTCGCGTAGGGTTTTCTTCATGCCGGAAAAAGGAAAGTTTCCCATGAGCCGAGCCTTCTTCTCCACGTCGTGTATGGGCCGACATTGTACCAAGGAAAGCTCCAAACATTAGCCAGGCCTCTTCTCTATTCGATCAAGGCCTTTGGCGCTGCTGCTCGGGCCATTAGACACTCCAAATCCTCCATGGGCTTCGTTTGCTCGCTTACCGGACATGTCTCGGTAGAAAATAAGTTAGGCCTCATAGTTGATCCAAATGGCTTCATTCCACTTCGACGTGATGCATGACTCAAGATCTATTTTCCATATCAAGATCGTACTTTTGGACGTCGGGAACTCTTCCGCACGCGGCCAAACTTCCGAAGCTTTGTTCTGCTCGCTAGCGAGAACTAACACTTGGAGACAAAATGATGTTCTTGACTTGGAGACTTGCATGGAAGTTGGTTTGAGACTCTTTTACTCCTTTTTGCATCCTTTTTGATGGTTTCACCTAAAAAGACTTCAAATCCCCCAAATACAAGAAAACTACCTCTAAAGGCAAAGAATCTTGCAAAAACCGTTTGAAAACATAAATAATTATATAGTAAAATCATGTAAAATATGGTGAAATCATCGACATACGTTAGAAGGATCATCACTTTCAAAGCCTGGAGGTAACTTCATATAACTTTCCTCATCGAGATCTCCATGTAAGAAAGCGTTATGTACGTCCATTTGACAAACCGTCCATCCTTGTTCCGAAGTTACAGCTAAAAGAAATCGAACCGTGGCCATTTTAGGGACTGGAGCATACCTGTCGGTGTATTCAATTCCTTCTATCTAGGTAAAAGCTTAATTGTATTGATTCACATAGCATGGTATTTGTACAAGAATGGTAACGACTATGAAACCTCACACAATAGAAAGTTATCCTTACTACAATATAGGAATATATTCTTATCTCAATAATCTTTCTCTTTTAGAAAGTGTTATGAGGGAAATTCAAGCCTGAGCTTCAAGTTGGCATCAATCAGATAAAAATGGCTTAAAGATGGTTTTTCCCAAATGATGATCCAAAATAATTGTTAGAATATCATTTTGGTTTGATGGTGTAATAATAATTGTGTGATTCAAAATCAACCAAAACAATTTAAGACCAGCCTTTTGTTAGAGGAGAAATTAGCACATTTCCCTGAGCCCGTCATCATTAGTAAAATCACAAAGTCCAATCCGACTTTAGGCCTACCCTCCTCAACAAAATGGCAAGACTTGAGGAGAAAGGCACAACTCATGAGAAAATGTAAACAAACCCTCATGCCGACTCGAAAAATGGGAAGTTTGTGATTCACCAAGGAGCCAACCTATCAACATTATATAATGATGGAGGGAGTTTTCCATATCGCTAAAGAGGAAGTTTTCCATATCGCCGGAAGGAAAATATTCACCAAGGAGCCGACCTATCAACATTATATAATGATGGAGGGATCGGATCATCTAGAATTACTCACAAGAAATCTAGGCTTAGCATTCTCTTTACTTTCCTCTTCGCTTTCCTCTTGTTCATCATAGTTCATCTCGTCAAGCATATTGGCGAGATAACATCTTTTGTAATCTTCCTGATATTCTTCGAGTTAATCAAACCTCCAGTTTCCTAAACTCACATCTTTGGTATCCCGTCTTAACGAGTGCTATCTCAGATCTAACAACTGGCGCCCACGTGGGGCTGGAAACGCTTCTCGCTATTCATCTTGTAGGTATCTAGACTTTTACGAAGATACAACCATGGTGAACTCGAAAGAGAACACCCCTACCGGGAGTCCATCCCGAACAGAAAGAAACCCAAGCAATGATCCGCCGCCGCCGACGGTAGATAAGTCGCTGCACGCTGAAGACAGGGACAAATCTGTCCCCTCAAGAAGTGGATCGACTTCGCCGCGAAGATCTTTTTCGCCGCGAAGATCTACTTCGCCGCGACGATCTGCATCGCCAAGGATATGACGAGAGCCCTCCTCCGTCCACACGACGCCGCTCGAAGAAATCCTCTTCGAGCGACAAGCCTCGCAACCCGAAGAAATCTTCTTCGAGCGACAAACTCCGCAAACTCATGGAGAGTCTCGTCAAGCCGCTAGCTGAAGAAGACCCATGAGCAAGTGGAGGCCTTGGCCCGAGAAGACGAAGAGGAACCGTTGGATCCCGCAGCCGCGACGATCAACGGAACCACTACTCGCCCAACACGTTTTGGCCGACGAGCGGCCCTAGAATTCGAATGAATGAACCGTCGTCTCGACGAGGTCGATTCTAAGATTCATCACGCCACTAGCTCAGCCCCGGCGTTGACGAAAGCACTTGCTGATACCCGGAAGAGCCCGCTCACTCGCAGGCTCCGCCAGATCGATCTGCGTGAGAATTCGACTCAAGATCGACTCTTACACTGGAGAAGAAGACCCCAAGAAGTGGCTGACAGCGTTCAATCTCGCCATGACAAGGGAGAAAAACAAATCCTACGACGAGAAGGAAGCCAACTACTGTCAAGTATTCGTCGAGCACATGACGAAGGATGCCTTGACCTGGTTCTCCAACCTCCCTGCCGAGTCGATCCATAACTTCGACGACTTGACTAATGCTTTCCTGAAGCATTACTCCATGCATATGACCCGAGTCACGCGGAACATGTTCACCACGACGCAAGCACAAGGTGAACCATTACATAGTTTCATGGAAAGGTTCAAGCAAGCAGCTCGCGACATGCCCGACAGTTTCCCGCTAGAAGCACTCCGTAACGGCCTCTGGTACGACTCCAAATTCAAGGAGGACTTATCACTAAAGACTCCCACAATTTTGGAAGACGCATTCCATCACTCCCAGAGCTACATCTTCCTCGAGGAAGACAAGCCCTTCTATGCCGAGAAGCATGGAGATAGGAGGACAGCCCCGCCCAAACCTAGAGAAGAAGCCGTGGAGGTACGGAGGAAACCCGACCCCAAAAGATCGCTCCTCACATCGTTCGCGGCAGCCGATGACGAGTCCGAGCAAGAATCGTGGTATGCTGCGACAATTTTAACGCCTTCCGACGCTGCCCCACTCAGAGACGATAACGACACCAAAGCATTCTGCAAGTTCCACGGGAGAACCGGCCACTCCAACGAAAACTGTAAGAACCTCATCAGTAACCTCATCCGCATATACCATCGAGGAGATATTCCCCCGATGGACGGCGACAGTGTAATACCCCTCACGATGGCTAAGCACGTGATGGGACGGATAGTTAAAACAACCATCCCACGGAGGATCTATCCCACAAGATATACAAATGTCCCGGGATGGAGGTATTCCGGACATTTCCAAGCAGCTATCTGAAAGCTCAGAAACATGGAAATGACAGAAGGATTAAAATGGGCGATTTCAATTCTCAAGCACGACGGGAACGAAACCCTCCGAACAAGGAAACGTACAAAAACCTTTGGAAAGGGAAACGTACAAAACCCTCTGCAAGAAGAAACGTGGGAAGGAGCACATCATCTCAAGACCAATGGGATGTTGACACCAGCAGCTTAAAGGATAAGAGTGGTCTGAACCAATGAGAAGGCTACACTCAGCTACTGAGTAAGGACGAAGGAGTTCTAGGCCAATCAAGTGATGGCACTCAACAACTGAGGGAAGGAGCCAATGGAAAGGAGCCACTTGATCCAGGAAGATAGGAACAAGGAGGAGATGTTCATCCTCAACGAACCAATCACGTTCAGCCATCCAGCAGCTTGGGGAATGGACCAATGGGAAGGTGCCATTCGACCCAAGTGGATGGGGATGGGAGAAGCAGCTCCAGGCGTGCTCCCATGCCATTGGTTGCATGCAGAAGCAAGGTGTCGCGTTCTGAAGCCATCAGACGCCACCTTGAGCTTCCGGAAAACCTATATAAAGACCCCCTTGGTCTTCACTTCCAAACCACACCAGAAACTGAAATCTAGAGAGAAAAACTAGAAAGAGAAAGAGAGAGGGCGTGGAGAAGAAGAGAAAGAATAAGTTAATATCATACGACGGTATGATCCGACTAACAGTGAGGTTAGGTCGATGAGTGAGGGCCAGTCAGGTTACTGTGTTTTTCCTGGCGCGGTGCTTCGCGTGTACGTGTAATGAGTTCCCTTGGTACACCAGTTAGAGGTTTAACCGGTGAAGCAATGGAGTATAGACTGAGGGTTAAGTACATGAGTACTTGTCGTAGTATTGATTGCATTTTAATTGCATGTGTGATTGCACTTAATTTGCAGGTGGTATGCATATATTATGCATACTTTTATTTGATGCAGGTGGCGGGGTGATAAGCCCATGGTTTAGAATTGAGCATTGTTATGTGTTGCTTATAATCTCTGATTGGTCGTACATGTTCTTGTTTGATTGTTGTGCAGTCAGTTTTGAGGCTATAGCAGCATTACACAATGTGTTTTATTTTTGGGGTTGGGTTTGGGGAATAACCTTTGTATAGAGGGTCCTGAACTCACTTAGTAACATTAGGTTACTCATGACAATTGTTTGTGTTTCAGGAAGTTTGGAGTAGATAGCCCGTGGGCGGGAGGCAGAACACTCGAAGACCGGAGTAATTTGCTTGGCTTTTGTTAAAAACTCGATTTCGGGTAATGTATTGCAATGTCTTTCTTTTGGGCGTTAGGCCATGCCGGCAATGTAGGATAAGGTTTTGTAAGAACATGTTTTCAGTGTTTGAAATATAAAGTTATGTTTTTGGAAAACCCGGCTTACTGGAATGATATTAGCTAGTCCAAGCTAACACAACTCAAGACTAGAGGTAAAGGTTGCAAAGCCTTAACCAATGGTCGAGAGGGTCGTATTCATCAGGTTAACTGGCCTGGGCTCTGATGTGTTCTGAGACCTGGGATGAATTACCTGATGGACCTACACAATTGTGACATCTGCGGTTTAGCCTATTTATATTCCGAATCGGGGGTGTTACAAATGGTGGTATCAGAGCGTGGTTCATGGTCATGCTCACTGGGAATGCCGTTTTCAAAATGTCTTATCGAGTCAAAGGAGTCGCAAAAGCCAAATTAGGAATCAGGTCTGTTCTGCCTATTAGGATTAGATGTTAGGTTGTTTACTAATTGGTTTCAGGATGTCGAGTCACGATTGGTCGAGGGATTTATCATTGGGTCGGGATGCGCCAGAAGATGGGATAGGAAGAGAGACATCAGATGTACCAACACACGACATAGAGGAAGATTGGGATGAGGGGATGATGCATGGTTATATGCCAAAGACTGATAGTCCAGCCGAGGATCGAGACTACGAGAACCCCGGAAGGAGAGACCACTCAATGTCTCCTTATATATCCTCCATTCACTCTCATGGGACAAAATCTCGAGTTCATCATCCACAAATCATGGATGGGAATGCTCGGGGTGAGCATTCCGGATCCGCTAATCAACCAGCACGGCAAGATGCTAGGCCACTGATGGAACAAGACGGTCAACAACGAGCCAATCCAACTCTTTCCATGGTGCATGATCTCTTATCTCAAGTTCTTCACCGAGCTGCATCAGGTCCGGGAAATGGAGCAACTCCACCACCAGACTTTCTCAAAATAGTAACTACTATGAAGACTTTGGGAACTTACCACTTTGGAGGCGAGCCAGATCCTTATCAGGCGGATTCATGGTTATAATGCATAGAGAAGAACTTCACCGCAACCAGATGCCCAAACGACTTCAAGAAGGACGTCGGAGTTTACTACTTAGCAAAGGAGGCATTAAACTGGTGGGAGAGTGTAGATCGACAGAAGGAGTATCAAATCAACACCTGGGAAAAATTCATGGAAGAATTTGAGCAAAAGTACTTCCCAGCTGAAGCAAGAGATCGCTTAGCTCAAGAATTTCTCCGACTTGAGCAAGGAGAAAAGAGTGTAAGGGAGTATGAAGCAGAATTTATGAGACTTCAGCGTTATGTCTCATATTGCAATGTGGATGATAAGGCCTTGGTGAGGCAATTCATGCAAGGTCTGAAACCGGAGATAGGAAGTCGACTTCAGTCAGTCACTTTCACCAACACCCATGAGATAATAGAGAGAGTAGTGAATGTGGAGGCATATCTACTTAAGGAGAAGGCTGCTTGGAATAAACGAAAGATAGAATCCAAGACAGCAAGCAAGGCAAAGAAGGCAAACCAGTCATCCAACCAACCTAATCCCAGTAAAGGTGGACAACCATCTGGAGATGAAAATAAGAAATGTTATACATGTGGAAGGATAGGACATGTCGCGCGGATGTGTTACCGTAATAGGCCGGCAGGAGCTTCGGCTAAATGTTTCTCATGTGGTGAGCAAGGGCATTACTCAAATGCCTGTCCTCGTACGGCTGGTGGTGCAGCAAAAGGCGCTGACAAGGAAGCATCGACCCGACCAATGAAAGAATCCCCGCCTAAGCGGCTAAGTAACACGGGTAAGGTGTATGCTTTAGAAGCAGGACCATCAAACCCGTCGGGACAAACCCAAGGTCCCATTACAGGTATGAAAGGGCGCTAACTCTATCTTGTTTTAGAGTTTGATTAATTTTGGTGTGATTGCTTGCTTGATTAGTAAATGTATTGGTATTGGGTGATGCTTGGAACAATATGTGTAGGTGGTAACCTGACACATGTTTTGTTTGATTCGGGAGCGACACATAGTTTAGTGACTCCTGAAGTAGCATCTCGTTTTGGGGATGCCTATAAGATAGGATTGGTGGAGGTTAATATATTAACCCCTGGAGACCAAGTCCTTAAGGCATCCCGTGTAGTTTTCGGTGTGCCTGTTGAATTGCAGGGAGACACCTTGAAGGCTGACCTACTAGTCCTACCACTAGCCCGCTTTGAAGTAATTGATGTACTTGCATTTTACATAGTTTTAGCACATCTTTTATGCATCTTTTGCATAGTTTTAGCTTTCCATTTGCATCATATCTTGTTCCTTTTCTCTTCTTATGCATTCATGTTAGTTTTAGGTTGCATTTGCATACATATGCATGTTTGGTCCTTTGAAATAGGTCTTTTGGAGCATTCTGGAGCATATGGGACATAAGGAGCATGGAGGGACTTGGCACATGGAAGCAGCTCAACTGGATACGCAAAGGAAGAAGGGAGAAGCCATCTTGAAGACCAGCTCGACCGTCTAAGCTTCAACTCGATCGAGCTGAGAAGTCAAAGTCAAACCCGAAAAATGTTGCTTCCCCCTTGACTTTCCTTTGACCCTAAACCTAATCCTCTTTGTATTTAAAGGCTCTAGCCACGAAAAAACCACCAAGCTTTAGATTACTTTTGTTTTAGTCTTCTTTAATTTATTGTACTTTTACTTTTTAGAGATCTAATCCATCTTTGTGTTCTTGAAGCTCTTGCTTCTTGAATCTTAGATCCTGGATAATCTCTCTTGTATTTGCACTTGCTTATTTCAATAAAAGTTGTTTAATTTCATCTCCTCTTTCTTATGATGTCTCTTTTATTGCATTTGCTTGTGTTTACATTCATGTGTAGTGAGTAGTTACCCATTGGGGTTTGAGATGGGATAGATTAGAGGTTTCATATGCTTAATCCTTCTAGCTTATGGTCTTAATCTAGATTCTCTCTCTTTTGGATAGATCTTAAGGCTACATGACCACTACCCCTGGCTTGTAAGTCCTTAGGCGACTCCCCACACGAAAGTGATGGCATTCGCTGGAAAAGATCCACTAAGAGCTCCAATATCTCTTGCTCTAGACAATAGAGGTCTAAGGGGTTGGATGGATTAGTTTGGGCAATGATCCTATAGCCTCCAAGGTTTGATTCTCACTGGCTAACCCCCTGTTTCTGAGATCATTCCTTGGTTGATAGCCTCCACCTTGGGAAAGGGTTGGCTAGGCATTGAGAAGCCCAATATCAAGAGAAGCCTTAAAGTGTGGGAGAGTGGGGAAGGTGGATTCGATCGAGTTATGGGGAAGAGGGTTGTTTTGAGATGTGTGGTTGAGATTAAAAGGTGAAATAAAAGGGGGACAAGAAGCTAGGGTTTTTCTGATCAAATTCAGAAAGTGGGGGGCCAAAATTAACTAGTGGGACCCACTCCCTTGACCGAGGAAAACGGTTAGAAATTTGAAATTCAAAAACTTACCTTGGTCGAGTTGCGGAACTCGATCGAGTTGCCCTGGTTTCTAGCTCGATCGAGCTGTCGGTCGAGCTGGCTCCCTTGACACCTAAACTTAACTTATTCGAAGATTAAAACACAGAATACTAGAAGAAATTGCATAAATAGAATATGTACAAGGATAAACATGGGACTTCCTCCCAAGTGAGCTTGTTTTAGGTCCCATAGCTTGACCTTTACCTTCTAGGCATTGGTTGAGCTAGTCCCACCATCAAGGGTGATAGTGAGGACTTGAGACAGAAGCTCCTTTAGCTTGGTTGGGTCCTTGGACTGTTTTGAAGTCACTATGGCCTTGGCTCTAGAGAATGGTTATCAACCAAGGAATGATCTCAGAAACAGGGGGTTAGCCAGTGAGAATCAAACCTTGGAGGCTATAGGATCATTGCCCAAACTAATCCATCCAACCCCTTAGACCTCTATTGTCTAGAGCAAGAGATATTGGAGCTCTTAGTGGATCTTTTCCAGCGAATGCCATCACTTTCGTGTGGGGAGTCGCCTAAGGACTTACAAGCCAGGGGTAGTGGTCATGTAGCCTTAAGATCTATCCAAAAGAGAGAGAATCTAGATTAAGACCATAAGCTAGAAGGATTAAGCATATGAAACCTCTAATCTATCCCATCTCAAACCCCAATGGGTAACTACTCACTACACATGAATGTAAACACAAGCAAATGCAATAAAAGAGACATCATAAGAAAGAGGAGATGAAATTAAACAACTTTTATTGAAATAAGCAAGTGCAAATACAAAGAGATTATCCAGGATCTAAGATTCAAGAAGCAAGAGCTTCAAGAACACAAAGATGAGGATTAGATCTCTAAAAAGTAAAAGACAATAAATTAAAAGAAGCTAAAACAAAAGTAATCTAAAGCTTGGTGGTTTTTTCGTGGCTAGAGCCTTTAAATACAAAGAGGATTAGGTTTAGGGTCAAAGGGAAGTCAAGGGGGAAGCAACATTTTTCGGGTTTGACTTTGACTCCCCAGCTCGATCGAGTTGAAGCTTGGCCGGTCGAGTTGAGGAACTCGACCGGTTGGTCGAGTACGGTCGAGCTGGTCTTCAAGATGGCTTCTCCCTTCTTCCTTTGCGTATCCAGTTGAGCTGCTTCCATGTGCCAAGTCCCTCCATGCTCCTCATGTCCCATATGCTCCAGAATGCTCCAAAAGACCTATTTCAAAGGACCAAACATGCATATGTATGCAAATGCAACCTAAAACTAACATGAATGCATAAGAAGAGAAAAGGAACAAGATATGATGCAAATGAAGCTAAAACTATGCAAAAGATGCATAAAAGATGTGCTAAAACTATGTAAAATGCAAGTACATCAATGATCCCCATCAATGATTCTATGCCTGAAGAACAGCTTATGGCAATCATGATCTTGAAGGAGAGTTTTGATGAGAAAGCCAGGCTGGAAGAAGTTAAGGCTCTGCGTGATGAGAATTTGCCATGGTATGCTGATATAGTGAACTTCATGGTGTCCGGAGAAGTCCCTAGTAGCTTTGATGCTTACAAGAGAAAGAAATTCTTCAAGGATGCTAGGCATTACTATTGGGATGAGCCCTACCTGTACAAGAGAGGACCAGACAGCATTTACAGAGATGCATTGCTGAAGAGGATGTGCAAGGAGTTCTAGAGCATTGCCATGGGTCAGTTTACGGAGGTCACTTTGCTACATTCAAAACAGCAACTAAGGTTTGCAATCTGGTTTATGGTGGCCTACTTTGTTTAAGGATGCAGCAGACTACATTGCCAAGTGTGATCCGTGCCAAAGGAAAGGAGGGATCACCAAGAGGGACGAGATGCCACTAAACCCAATTCTAGAGGTTGAGATCTTTGATGTATGGGGAATAGACTTCATGGGACCTTTCAAACGGGCACAACTACATTTTGGTTGCTGTAGACTATGTGTCCAAATGGATTGAAGCCATTCCCTGCCCAACCTGTGACGCCAAGGTGGTTGTCAAGCTTTTCAGAACCATCATCTTTCCAAGGTTCGGCATCCCAAGGGTTGTTATTTCGGATGGAGGCTCCCATTTCATCAACAAGGTGTTTGAAAAGTTGATGAGAAGCCATGGAGTCAAACACAAGGTCGCCACACCTTATCACCCTCAAACCAGTGGGCAAGTTGAAGTCTCCAACAGACAGATCAAGGCCATATTGGAGAAGACTGTGAGCTTCACTAGGAAAGACTGGGCAGCAAGGCTTGATGAGGCACTTTGGGCTTATAGAACAGCCTACAAAACCCCCATTGGAAGGTCTCCTTTCAATTTGCTGTATGGGAAGGACTGCCACTTACCTGTGGAGGTCGAATATAAGGCTTTATGGGCAGTAAAGATGCTGAACTTTGATATAAAGGCAGCACAAGAAAGGAGGGTAATGAACTTGTTTGAGCTGGAGGAGATAAGAATGAATGCCTATGAGAACTCTAGGATTTACAAGATGAGAACCAAGGCAGCCCACGACAAACTGATTCGCCTTAAGGACTTCAAGGTTGGGGACAGTGTGCTCTTGTATAACTCCAAGCTAAGGTTGTTTCCCGGGAAGCTGAGGTCAAAGTGGGCGGGACCATTCAAGATTCACGAAGTTCTACCCTATGGGTCCCTCACTTTACTCAATCAAGAGGGGAAGGAATTCACAGTGAATGGACATAGATGCAAGCCATATCTAGGAATGACCCCCACAGAGGAGATCATCACTCCTCTAGAAGATCCAACCCCGGCCTAAAAGGGGTAAGGTCAAGCTAAGAGACCTAAAACAAGCTCACTTGGGAGGAATTCCCATGTCTATCTTATGTATTTATACTTTATCCTTTTATTTTATGATTTTTCTTGGCTAGTCTCACAGGAGCAGGTTTTAGGAAGAAGAGTGGCTAACTCGAGGCACAACTCGATCGAGTCAAGAGCAAGCTCGATCGAGTGAGCCGAACCCAGTCGAGTGGAGCGTCCTGATGGCCGTCTACCATCTCCAGACCACGACCTAGCCTCCCAGTTCTTTGGGGGGCACTGAGGTATCCAAACACCAACCCTTGTATATACCATTTCATATTTTCTTGCATTTGTTCTTGTTTTTTCTTGGTTTTGCCCTCTTGAATCTTTCACTAAATTTTTCTCACACAAGGGACTGTGTGATTTAAGTTTGGGGGAGGGTTCAAGAGATGATTTAACCTTGTTTTCTTTGTTCTTAGTTTTTCATTTATCTTTTGCATAGAAAAACCAAAAAAATCATAAAATTTTCAAAAAATCCAAAAATATTTTCATCTTTTTGCATTCATATTTGTTAGACTTGTTTAGGATTGCATTTTTCACTTGCATTGTTGATTTGACTTTGAAAACTTGTCCATCTTTTGCGATTTCTTGAGTGCCCTGTTTTTAGATTCTTTTGTGCATTAGGGTGAGATTGATTGAGCAGCAAGAACCATGTTTATCTTGATCATATCACTGCATGCACATCTCATTCAACCATTGCTGTGATTTGATGCATTTCCCTATCTATTTGAACCATAACTTGATCTTTAATTACCAATGCTTGCATTTGATTTCAACTCATGGCTACCACATACATATCTGGACATTCTTTACCTATTTTCATATCCCTTTGCTTGTCCAGATAGCTGATCTCCATCTTTGAGACAGTTACCACACCTTAAACCTAAGCCTTTTCATTTCAAACCCCATTTTATCTCTTGTGCGAATGTGAGAACCTTTCTTGGCTTTGCTTAGCATAAGGTGTTGTGTTTAAACCGGCAGGGGCAGTAGTTCTAGTTGTCTAGTTCTCTTGGGATTGTTTTCAGGCTAAGTTTGGGGGTGCCAACTCGAGCTCGATCGAGTTGGGTGTAAAAACCAGAAAAGTGGTAAAAGTTGGGAAAAACCCAAAGGAAAAAGAGTTTAGTTAAGTCCAGGGAGTTGGCAGTGTTAAAAAGGGTCTAGTAAAGGTTTGGGAAGTTAAAAAAGGAAAGTAAAAAGGGTTCTAAGTAGAATGAAAAGAAGGCAAAGCCTCAAGTGTCAAAAAGGAAAGAAAAGTTCCCTAAGTGTTTAGAAAATCCCAAACCGCTAGATGTTACCTCAAGAAGCCTCTCCCTAGGAAGTTCTTAAAAGAAAAGTGAGCAAAGCTCCTCAGTTTCAAAGGCGAAATGCCAAAAAGGGTAGTTAGGATTTTGTTCTAAAAAGCTCTAAGTGTTGAACTCGATCGAGTTAGGATTAGGCGGCTCGAGCTGCTGTTCTTGCATCATCTTTGGTTCTAACACTTAGCCTTCTGCCAAAGCAAAGCCACTTTCTTGAGAGATCCCTGTTACTAAACCACCATACAAAAGAGACCCTCTTTGTCTCTTAACCCATAAACCCTTGAAACCAAATGAGTTGATTGATCTTGCATGTTTTTGGTTCACTGTTTTTGCTTAATGAATGTTAAAGGGATTTGCTGATTTGAATGCATTGTTTGAGTGACTGTGAAGTGGGATTGATGTTGATAAGCATGGTTAAATCTTAATGAATATCTCTCACCTTGTTGCATTCTAGAATCTCTAAGTTGGACATTTAGCAAATCGCTTTTGAGGACATGTTTTTAAGTGTTGAATCAGCTTTTTTCAAACCTCATCTCTTTCTTGTTCTATTTGTTTGCTTGAGGGCAAGCAAAGTTCAAGTTTGGGGGTGTTGATGTACTTGCATTTTACATAGTTTTAGCACATCTTTTATGCATCTTTTGCATAGTTTTAGCTTCCATTTGCATCATATCTTGTTCCTTTTCTCTTCTTATGCATTCATGTTAGTTTTAGGTTGCATTTGCATACATATGCATGTTTGGTCCTTTGAAATAGGTCTTTTGGAGCATTCTGGAGCATATGGGACATAGGAGCATGGAGGGACTTGGCACATGGAAGCAGCTCAACTGGATACGCAAAGGAAGAAGGGAGAAGCCATCTTGAAGACCAGCTCGACCGTCTACTCGACCAACCGGTCGAGTTCCTCAACTCGACCGGCCAAGCTTCAACTCGATCGAGCTGAGAAGTCAAAGTCAAACCCGAAAAATGTTGCTTCCCCCTTGACTTTCCTTTGACCCTAAACCTAATCCTCTTGTATTTAAAGGCTCTAAGCCACGAAAAAACCACCAAGCTTTAGATTATTTTGTTTTAGTTTCTTTTAATTTATTGTCTTTTACTTTTTAGAGATCTAATCCCATCTTTGTGTTCTTGAAGCTCTTGCTTCTTGAATCCTAGATCCTGGATAATCTCTTTGTATTTGCACTTGCTTATTTCAATAAAAGTTGTTTAATTTCATCTCCTCTTTCTTATGATGTCTCTTTTATTGCATTTGCTTGTGTTTACATTCATGTGTAGTGAGTAGTTACCCATTAGGGTTTGAGATGGGATAGATTAGAGGTTTCATATGCTTAATCCTTCTAGCTTATGGTCTTAATCTAGATTCTCTCTCTTTTGGATAGATCTTAAGGCTACATGACCACTACCCCTGGCTTGTAAGTCCTTAGGCGACTCCCCACACGAAAGTGATGGCATTCGCTGGAAAAGATCCACTAAGAGCTCCAATATCTCTTGCTCTAGACAATAGAGGTCTAAGGGGTTGGATGGATTAGTTTGGGCAATGATCCTATAGCCTCCAAGGTTTGATTCTCACTGGCTAACCCCCTGTTTCTGAGATCATTCCTTGGTTGATAGCCTCCACCTTGGGAAAGGGTTGGCTAGGCATTGAGAAGCCCAATATCAAGAGAAGCCTTGATACAAGGAGTTTTAAGAGCTAGATTGATTAAGTGTAGATTCCTTTGATTGCAAAACCCTGTCTTGAACCCTAATTCTCTCTTTATCTTGTTAAAGTCGTCACCTTTAGCTTTGTTTGTCTCAACTCGTCCCTAAACTCGATCGAGCTGGTACTTTGCTCTACTCGACTCGAGCTCTTGGTCGAGCTGACACTTCACTGCTTTGTTTACTTTTATTGCACTGCTTTTCATTTTTTTAGGTTGTTAGTGTTACTTCAAATCTATAACTGCTTGCTTGACTTTCCTGGTTGTTTCATATTCTCAAAGAGTGACAAGTTTCCCATTTTGGATTGATAACCTCTTATACTTCAATGACTATGATGGTTAAGAGGAATTGATTGATTGTGATTGCACCATACCATTCATCTTTATTCACCCCTGTTTGCATTCCACCTCATATCATCATCCTTCTTCATATCATTTCACATCCACACAAAATCCTATCATCAGTAATCCTAGGCATGGATTGGTTATCTAGCTAAAAAGCTCAGCTAGATTGTGGAAGAGGAAAGGTCACCATTGTAAGGTCAGTGAGACCGGTGATTACGTACTAAGGAATCAGTCCTAGTACGGCAGTGTCATTGGTAGCAGCGCTACGAGTTGAGAAGCAACTGGAGAGTGCAGAGGCCTATCTAGTTGCGATCAGTGTGGTGGAAGAGGAAGAGGATAAGGAATTAGAAGTGGGAGATATTCCGGTGGTGTGTGAGTATGGGGATGTATTCACGGCGTTAACTGAATTGCCCCCACCACGGAAGAATCCATTCACTATTAACTTGGAGTCAGGGACGGCACCAATAGCTAGGGCACCATATCGTATGGCCCCAGCTTGCTTGCTTTTACTTTGTTCTTGCTTGTTACTCTTTCTAGAGAGGATTCGAATCTCTGTTCTTATGAATATGAATTCGTGTTCCTTCTCTATGTCTGAGTAGTTTACTTGTTAAGTGATAGGAAGTCAAAGGATAGCATTCATGTATGCTTGATGATTGATCACAATTAGGGTTTTACTTATAATCTCCATCTTTGCTTATACTTAATGCTTGTTGTTAATCTGGCCAATTAGCATATGCCTTTAGGTTGATTTGAGCCTCGACAGTGCTGTATCATTCGCCTGAACTAGTATTTGGTGGGCAATCTCTTTTAGACTGCGAAAGTTGATCTACTTGTAGGTTGTGAACAATTGATCTTGATCGAACTAATGCTTGATTTAATCACCTAGGGACATACCAAAAGTTTAGCGACTAGGTAGATTAACAAAGGGGTCGGAGCCTCGACAGTGGAATGATCATACCATAGTGTTTCAAGTTCTAGATTAGCACCTAAGTGCGGTAACCCTAATTGATTGATTTCATGCTTCTTGAATTGCTTATCTCAAGACTATCCTATTGCTTAGCCTTTCTCTCCTATTGATCTCACTTTCTTTATTACTTGCATGCTTTACTTTCTCTGCACTCAACCAACTTATACTTTTGCCCTAGCTTGTTCTCAAACTCATAACTTGTAGTGTGCAATCTGGTCCTTGTGTTCGATACCCGTTTACTACTTCTGACCTGTGCACTTGCAGAATCAGGGATAGGAAAGGGGAAGACCTGATCCCGCGATCAAGTTTTTGGCGCCGTTGCCGGGGACCAATTCGCACCTACAAGCTCTTGCAAGAGAGCTAGTCTAGGGTTTCATCTTTTCCTTTTTGTTTTTGTTATTTTTCCTTTTTTCTTTGATTTGTTTTTCCTTTTTGGTTTTTCCTTTTTGTTTTTAGCTTTTCAGGTTTTCCTAGTTAGATATGGAGAAGGAGCCACAAGCCTCTTCCCCTATAAAGGCGATGCCAATTCGCCACATACCACCTCAAAGCACCTCTTGAGCGAACAAGAGATGTTAAGCCCTCAAGCACCACCACCTTCATGGGATAGTCCTCCAAGACCATCCACTTTGAAGACAAAGAAGAAACTTCTTCCTTACCTTGAAGCAGCCGACCTGGAGACGTCTAGCCAAGCCGCATCACACCAAGAAGAGTACCTTCTAGCCACACCAGAAGAGGAGATTAACCCTGAGCTGATCGAGTTCGTGAAGAGAGATCAATTCCATGATCTGTTTTCAGAGTATGCGCTGGAGCACATAGATCACTTTGACAATCTTTGTGATTCCTATGGAGTTTTTGACTTTGAGAAGAAGATGATGCTATTCAGCACATCACTAGCTGGACCAGCACTAGATTGGGCGCAGCATGAACCACCTCTACAATCGAGTCATGGATCGATTTTAGAGAAGCTTTCTTGGAAGAGATTTGCAAGGAAACCACCTTTCAAATCCAAGTACCACTACTCTCATCAGCTGGAGAGAGAGCGTGATGAAGAAGAATGGGGAGGCATACCACCTCATCCTGAAGTTTGAATGAAGAGCTAATCAAGCATGTGGAGAGGAATCCTTTCTACAATTCTACTTCAGAATGTGCAAAGGAGCATCTATGCAACTTTGAGCAGCTTTGCCATGACTATGGACTTGGAGACAACCCCAAGAAGATACAACTTTTCCAACTATCTCTAGCTGGACAAGCCAAAGACTGGGCTAAGTTCAATGCCCAACATGCTTTCAAGACTTGGAATGGATACAAAGGAGCTTTCCTCACAGATTTGCTAAAGGTCCTGTTTATGTCCCACCACCACGCCCAAGCTATTCACAACACCATCCATCATCACCAGACATAAACAAGACACCACTTTTCCCAAGGGAGAGCTATCAAGCTGCGCGCCAAACCAAGATTGAAGATATGCTTCAAGAGTACTTGAGAAATCAAGAAGAGAGTACAAAGAAGATGGAGAGAAGAATCGATTTCATCCATGAGAGCCTTGGAAACAAATCTGAAGTCCTATTCAAGCAAGTGATCAAGCTTGATGAAGACATTAAGAAGTTAAGAGAGGATCATGATCGATCTTTGACCCTAGTTAAGCTTGATGTTGCTTCCAAATATCAAGAGTTGCTGAACAAGAGCATGAGAATTGAAGATACTAGCTATGGCAATAGCAAACATCTTGGATCGATCTACAACCGCCTACAAGCCCTTGAAGGATCATCTCATGCCAATTACAAGAGAGAGAGGAGTCCAACACCCAACCACCCTCCCTTTTATTGCAATGCCATCACAAGAAGAAGCACTACTCAAGTCCATGAGGACAATGAAGAAGAAGAAAGAGAGTATGAGGAACAATTGAATGATGAAGATGAAGAGCAGAGCATCGACATCAATGCTTCCCCAAAACAGAGCATGGATACACCAAGCCCTAGAGACCCTCGTTTCTCACCAAGAAGTCAAGCTTCTACACTTCCAAGATGGAAGCAATGCAAAGACCATCACCACCTACTGAAGAAGAAGATACTTGGCAGTATGATCCCATTGATCCCAACAAGATAAGCCCCATGAAGCTTAAAGAGTTCAATGCTAAGGTGAAATCACTTCCATTCTATGTCACTTTTGAAGAAGCTTGGGATAAACATGGTCTAGTGGAGTTCTTTTTCACAACTAGTGAAAACAAAGAAGAGATACACCAACTTTCAGGAAGGCTCGATTTCCCCTTGCCCCTCATGGAGTCAATCAACCACCATCACCACCATCATCACCACCACCCAGTGGTATGTCAATTCCATATCAAGAGAGAAGCTTGCTGAGTTCAATCAGTTTGTCCAAACTCTTCCAGCCAGCATGTCTTTCAAACAAGCTTGGCGCCACTACCCATTCACCACCTTCTTCCACAACTGCAAGGAGACACCTGAGGACATAAAGAGCTTTTTGAGAAAGCTAAAGTTCAGCCACCTTCAAGACCCTCTACAAGATTGAAGACCCAGGTCAATTCTCTATTCCCTGTCAAGTAAATGGTCATTACTTTGATAGAACACTATGCGATTCTGGCTCTTGCATAAACCTCATGCCAACCCAAACCGCCAAACTCCTTGGCATCACACGCTTGCAACCTGCTCAAATTAGTATTGGACTTGCTAACCATACTATAGCCAAGCCAAGAGGAGTTGTTGTTGATGTTCTTCTAGAGATTGGAGATATCAAGATCCCGGTGGACTTTCATGTCATAAACATTCAAGGAGGATGTGACACACCATTGATACTAGGCCGACCCTTTTTGGCCACTGCTGGAGCTGTCATGGACCTTCCAAACCGGCGAATGTCCTTAGCCAATGTTGACAAGACAGTCTTTTACAAGACCATACCATTCATCTCACCAAACAAGCTGTCTTACCTCATCACTGCCCAAGGCCGCCCAAGAGAGCCACCAGACCACACTCAAGGTCACAATGAGACAAGAACTAAAAGACTATGTCTCAGGCCGTGCCCTTACCCCATCTCCAACTAAGAGATCCTATCAGTCAAGCTAATGACTCAAAAAGAAGCGCTGCATGGGAGGCAACCCATGAAAGGTGTTTTTCTTTACTTTTCTTTTCAATTAGTTTTAGTTAATGTCTAGTTTTGTTTTGAGTTTTGGAAACAGGAATCTAAGAACCACACAATGGTAAAGAAGATATACCACAAGAAGAATGTTCATAGTTGGCGCGACTTGATGGCCGAGCAGAACCTCTCCACGCTCGCCCATGTCCTCTCAAGCCGCCCAACACACCATCCCATCTCATTCCATCTGCATCTCACCCATCCCACCTCACCACACTTGCATTCCATCACTACCATCATTCCACTGCATTCACCATTCTTCAAGTAACACCAAATCAGGTTACATCTTTCTTTTTACATTCACAACCACTTTATTACCTCTTTCTTTAACTCCCTTAATTGGATTTTCTTTCACCGGGACGGTGCAAGTTAAGTCTGGGGGGATTGTCGGTACTAATGTGTTTGTTCATGGTTGTTTTGATCTTATAATTGGTTTCTCCTATTATCCTGTGGTTGAAAGAAAGGTCAATAGAAAAAATAAAATGATACCCTAGAAAAGTAGGGAGAAATTGACCTTTCAAAGTTCTGATGTGAGAAAGAGAGAGGAAAGGAACTCATTGCACTCAAAGACAATCTTGGAGAAGATCAAGTGGGTAAGAACAAGTTCAATTGATCGATTTTCCCTTGATAAAGAACTCACGCTTTAAATTTCTGCAAGAGGTTAACAATAGAGAGTTTGGATTGCTGGATGAGACTAGTTGGGTTGGTAATGTTGCTAAACTTGCAGGGTGTATGTGAAGCTAACCTTATGTTGACTATGTTCTTAGTGGAATACAGGAAAGGAACCTTTCACAGGATTTTCAAAGAAGCAAGAGAGTTCCCACGTTTTTCAAAACCTCTTCACTAGTTTAGATTCTTTTTGCTTGGGGACAAGCAAAGATCTAAGTCTGGGGGAGTTGATATACCTCTATTTTACCTACTTTTTATGCTATTTTACTATGGTTTTCTAATGGTTTTCTAGTGGATTCTTGTGTTAAAAGGTAGTTTTTATGGATTTATAGTGCAAAGAGTCATTTTAGGTAAAAAGGTGCATTATGGAGCAAAACAGGAGATTTGGACTCTAAACCAGTTCAATGCCCCTGCATCAACTTTGGATGGAGCTAGAAAAAGATCTACTCAATGGATTTCATCAAGACCAGTTCCCTGCGTGCTCTGATTGAGTTAACTTTCCAACGCAACTGGAATGGCTTCATTTGGATGAGTAGAAAAGGAGTTATAGCCAAAAGAGTGAAGGCTGCTCCAGACGGCTATATCGAGAATCAGCGCCCGAACGCGCAGTCCGGCTGGCCGAGGAACGATGTTCCGCGCTCGGCCAAAACTGTGTCCGTCCGACTGAAGTCTCGGCCAAAGTTCAAACCGTTCGGCCGATCACGCAACACGACCCGGGAAACATTGTCCCGCGGTCGGCCAAGCCAAACGTTTCACGCCACGCCGCGCACGACCATGCCGCGCGAGCCGGGAAACAAGCCTCGCGGCCGCGCAACCTTCGCGTACCACGGCCGATGCATCCGTCCGAGCCGGGAAGAACGTCCCACGTCCGGCCGAGAAACCATCGGCCAAATCTCATCCGCCCCAAGCCGGCCGACCATGAAACATCCGGCCACGACCGTTCCGACTCGGCCCAAGACCCGACTGTCCGGCCGATCGTCCCGACCGACCGTCCGAACGCCGCGGTCGACCCGAAGCCGTTTTTGAAGCCCAATCCGCACAATTCAAGCCCAAAGCCGGCGCCGACCTAGCTAGATTAGGTTTAGCCGTCTTCTATACTTAGAGCATTATAAATACTTCTTTTTAGCCTTGTAACTCAAGAAGGAGAGAGACCACAATCTATTTTACATCTTAATAAAGTTTTGCTTGCTTTTACTTTGTTCTTGCTTGTTACTCTTTCTAGAGAGGATTCGAATCTCTGTTCTTATGAATATGAATTCGTGTTCCTTCTCTATGTCTGAGTAGTTTACTTGTTAAGTGATAGGAAGTCAAAGGATAGCATTCATGTATGCTTGATGATTGATCACAATTAGGGTTTTACTTATAATCTCCATCTTTGCTTATACTTAATGCTTGTTGTTAATCTGGCCAATTAGCATATGCCTTTAGGTTGATTTGAGCCTCGACAGTGCTGTATCATTCGCCTGAACTAGTATTTGGTGGGCAATCTCTTTTAGACTGCGACAGTTGATCTACTTGTAGGTTGTGAACAATTGATCTTGATCGAACTAATGCTTGATTTAATCACCTAGGGACATACCAAAAGTTTAGCGACTAGGTAGATTAACAAAGGGGTCGGAGCCTCGACAGTGGAATGATCATACCATAGTGTTTCAAGTTCTAGATTAGCACCTAAGTGCGGTAACCCTAATTGATTGATTTCATGCTTCTTGAATTGCTTATCTCAAGACTATCCTATTGCTTAGCCTTTCTCTCCTATTGATCTCACTTTCTTTATTACTTGCATGCTTTACTTTCTCTGCACTCAACCAACTTATACTTTTGCCCTAGCTTGTTCTCAAACTCATAACTTGTAGTGTGCAATCTGGTCCTTGTGTTCGATACCCGTTTACTACTTCTGACCTGTGCACTTGCAGAATCAGGGATAGGAAAGGGGAAGACCTGATCCCGCGATCACTAACCAAGGTAACCCACTTATTACCTGTTAGAGGTACAGATAAGGTGGAGATCTTAGCCGACCTATATATCAAGAAAATAGTGAGACTACATGGAGTACCAACGGACATTGTATCCGATCGAGACCCAAGGTTCACTGCAAGATTCTGGCAAGCTTTGCAAGGAGCCTTAGGGACAGAACTTTACATGTGTACAGCGTTTCATCCCGAAACTGATGGTCAGACGGAACGAACAATCCGGACGCTGGAGGATATGCTCAGGCTATGCATACTGGATTGGGCTGGTATGTGGGAAGATCATCTACCCTTGATTGAGTTTTCCTACAACAATAGTTATCATTCCAGCATAGGTATGTCACCGTATGAGGCACTCTACGGAAGACCATGTCGCACTCCTTTGTGCTGGACTGAGATTGGAGAAAAGAGAGTTTGGATTTCCAATGATTGAAGAAACCATGGAAAAGCTTCAGACAATCCGGGCGAACATGAAGAAGGCGCAAGATCGGCAGAAGAAGTATGCAGATCAGAACCGACGAGAAGTGATTTTTACTATTGGCGATTGGGTATACCTTAAGGTATCCGCCCAAAAAGGTAAAGATCGTTTTGGAAGAGTGGGGAATTTAGCTGTGAGATTCATAGGTCCATACCGAGTTATTGGGCATGTGGGAGAACTAGCCTATCGCCTAGACTTACCGGCGGACATGAATCTACATCTTGTGTTTCATGTATCTATGCTACGGAGGCATATACAGAACCCAAATGCTATTGAGCCGGAGCGGGTAGAGGAGTTACAACCTAACCTTACCATTCCAGAGGGTCCAATGAGGTTAGGAATCCGCCGACTCCGCAAGCTGAAATCCCTCAAATTCAAGTGTTTTGGGGAAGACAAAACCGTGAAGTGATCACCTTGGAAGATGAAGAACACTTCCGAAGAAGTTATCCTGAGTTCTTTGAGCAACACAGCTCTACAGAAGGAGGAGAGACATCACAGCCTTAGTACAATTCGGGGACGAATTCTATTAAGGGGGGGGGAGAATGTAATACCCCTCACGATGGCTAAGCACGTGATGGGACGGATAGTTAAAACAACCATCCCACGGAGGATCTATCCCACAAGATATACAAATGTCCCGGGATGGAAGTATCCCGCACATTTCCAAGCAGTTATGTGAAAGCTCAGAAACATGGAAATGACCGAAGGATTAAAATAGGAGATTTCAATTCTCAAGCACGACGGGAACGAAACCCTCCGAACAAGAAAACGTACGAAACCCTTTGGAAAGGGAAACGTACAAAACCCTCTGCAAGAAGAAACGTGGGAAGGAGCACATCATCTCAAGACCAATGGGATGTTGACACCAGCAGCTTAAAGGATAAGAGTGGTCTGAACCAATGAGAAGGCTACACTCAGCTACTGAGTAAGGACGAAGGAGTTCTAGGCCAATCACGTGATGGCAATCAACAGCTGAGGGAAGAAGCCAATGGGAAGGAGCCACTTGATCCAGGAAGATAGGAACAAGGAGGAGATGTTGATGTACTTGCATTTTGCATGGTTTTAGTACATCTTTTATGCATCTTTTGCATAGTTTTAGCATCCTTTAACATCATATCTTGTTCCCTTTCTCTTCTTGTGCATTCATAGTAGTTTTAGATTACTTTTGTTTTAGTTTCTTTTAATTATTGTCTTTTACTTTTTAGAGCTCTAATCCCATCTTTGTGTTCTTGAAGCTCTTGCTTCTTGAATCCTAGATCCTGGATAATCTCTTTTGTATTTGCACTTGCTTATTTCAATAAAAGTTGTTTATCTTTATCTCCTCTTTCATTTGATGTTTATTTCAATGCATTTGGTTGTTTATTTCATTCATGTGTAGTGAGTAGTTACCCATTAGGGTTTGAGATGGGATAGATTAGGGGATCTTTATGCTTAATCCTTCTTGCTTATGTTCTTAATCTAGAAATCTCTCTCTTTTGGGCAAACCTTAAGGCTACATGACCACTACCCCTGGCTTGTATGTCCATAGGCGATTCTCCACATGGAAGTGATGGAAATCGTTGGAAAAGGTCCACTAAGAGCTCCAATAACTCTTGCTCTCGAAATGGAGTTCATAGGGGTTGGATGGATTAGTTTGAGCAATGATCCTATGGCCTCCAAGGCTTGATTCTCACTGGCTAACCCCCTGTTTCTGAGATCAAGTCTTGGTTGATAGCTTTCACCTTGGGAAAGGGTTAGCTAGGCATTGAGAAGCTCAATATCAAGAGATACCTTGATACAAGTTGTTTGAGAGCAAGATTGATTAAGTATAGCCTTCCTCTGATTGTTAAACCCTGTCTTAGACCCTAATTCTCGCATTAGCTTGTTAAAGTCGCTGCCTTTATCGCTTTTTACTTCAACTCGACCCTAAACTCGATCGAGCTCGGTTACTCTGTTCCCACTCGACTCGAGTCCTTGGTCGAGCTGTTGCTCTACTGCTTTATTTACTTACTGCATTGCATTTCTGTTTCATTTAGGTTGTTAGTGTTACCCCATATCATTTACTGCTTGCTTGACTTCCTTGTTATTTCATATCTCATAGAGTGACAACTTCACCCATTTTGGATTGATACCCTTTATGCTATAACGTCTATAATGGTTAAAGGGAATTGTTGACTGTGTTTGTGTTTGCATCTTACCACCTCATCATATACCACTGTTGCATTCCACCACATCTCATTTCATATCTTTCACACCCACACACAAATCCTATCATCAGATGTTCATCCTCAACGAACCAATCACGTTCAGCCATCCAACAGCTTGGGGAATGGACCAATGGGAAGGTGCCATTCGACCCAAGTGGATGGGGATGGGAGAAGCAGCTCCAGGCGTGCTGCCATGCCATTGGTTGCATGCAGAAGCAAGGTGTCGCGTTCTGAAGCCATCAGACGCCACCTCGAGCTTCCGAAAAACCTATATAAAGACCCCCTTGGTCTTCACTTCCAAACCACACCAGAAACTTAAATCTAGAAAGAAAAACTAGAAAGAGAAAGAGAGAGGGCGTGGAGAAGAAGAGAAAGAAGAAGAAAGAGGAGAAGAGAAGAAGATCCAGAGGCGGATCAGCATCGGGCTAGAGCAGGGAGGCTAGGGTCGGGGTCAGCCGGATCGTCTAAAATCTGTGAGTTCCGGTAGCTAGGTTATAGTTTATTTCCTGTTATTGGTTATTGGTTCTGTAGTATAACTCTCTAAACAATAAGGTTTAGTAAAAATTTGTGAGAGTTATGCTGCAGAAATTTCTGTGAATTGTTGTGAGGTTGTGGCGGGTAATCTTCTAGGGAGAGAAGTTATGCCGTCAAACCTCTTGAGTGTTTGAATGCAGGTTATGCATTCGTGATGAGGATCTGGATGGCTATGCCATCTGATCTATTTTGTGGAGGTTCTGGTTGGTAATCTTTCACGCGGGGAAAGCTCTGCTTGCGAGTAATCTTTCACGTAAGGGAGAGCTCTGCCACAGAACCGGGGGTACAAGTATATTAGGGCGTAGCCCATATGCTAGTACCGGCACTTATGGTGTTGATATACCTCTAATTTACCCACTTTTTATACTGTTTTAGCATTGTTTTCTAATGGTTTTTGGCAGGTTTTCTATCTAAAAAGGTAGTTTTACTGTGTTTATAGTGTCTAGAGTCTAAACAGGTGAAATGATGCATTTTGGAGCAAAACCATAGGATTTGCACTTCAAGCAGCTCCATGCACAAGCACCAACTTTAAGAGGGCCCAGAAAAAGATCTACTCAATGGATTTCATCAAGACCAGTTCCCTGCGTGCTCTGATTGAGTTAACTTTCCAACGCAATTGGAATGGCTCATTTGGATGAGTAGAAAAGGAGTTACAACCAAAAGAGTGAAGACTGTCCAGACGGCTCTATCGAGAATCAGCGCCCAACCGCGCAGTCCGGCTGGCCGAGGAACGAATGTTCCGCGCTCGGCCAAAACCGTGTCCGTCCGACTGAAGTCTCGGCCAAAGTCCAAACCACTCGGCCGATCACGCACGACCCGGGAAACATGTCCCGCGGTCGGCCAAGCCAACGTCACGCCACACCGCGCACGACCAGCGCGCGAGCCGGGAAACAAGCCTCGCGGCCGCGCAACCTTCCGCGTACCACGGCCGATGCATCCGTCCGAGCCGGGAAAGAACGTCCCACGTCCGGCCGAGAATTCATCGGCCAAATCTCATCCGCTCGACCACGCCGGCCGACCCGAATCCGTCCGACCCGACCGTTCCGACTCGCCCACGACCCGACTGTCCGGCCGATCGTCCCGACCGACCGTCCCAACGCCGCGGTCGACCCGAAGCCCGTTTTGAAGCCCAAACTTATGTTTTCAAGCCCGGCTTAACCCTAAGCCGCCTCTAGAAAGACCTAGCACTATATATATATTTTTAGCCTCTTGTGAAAGAGAGCCGCCCTTGTATTTCGATTTCCTACTCTAAGTTTTATTGCAATCATGTTTTCTTCATCTCTATGTGTGTTTGCTTTGATCATGTCTGAGTAATCCACTAGTTAGGTTGCTAGGGTTACTATTCAATGAGTTGCTTGCATGATCTTTGATTTCAATGATTAGCTAGGGATTATATTAGAGTCTTTGTCTCGTCTTGTGCACTTAACTAATGCTGATTGCTTTACCGCGCATCTAGTAATCCGATCTTAGGTTGATTTGAGCCTCGACAGTGCTGTATCATTCGCCGGACATATTCTTTGACAAGCTAGGTTTCTTAGACTGCGAAAGTTGATCTATCTATATCTAGTGAACTGTATCAGAACCTATTCATTCTAATGCTTGATTTAATCACCTAGGGACATACCAAAAGTTTAGCGACTAGGTAGATTAACAAAGGAGCCGGAGCCTCGAAAGTGGAATGGTTTTATATTCGTGATCTGTGTTCTAGATGGTTCTTAATATCCCAATATCCCTAATCAATTAATCTATCATTGTTTCATTGATCATTGCTTGCTTCTCTGCGATAGCCCCTATGACCTAGCGCTTTTCCTTTATTGCTTTACAACCTCGTTATACTTGCTAGTTCGGTTCACCATTACAACCTCAATCATACTTTTGTTTTAGCTTGATCCAAAATCCATAGTTTCAAAGTGTACTCAATAGCCAGTCCTTGTGTTCGATACCCATACTTCCGCGATCTGTGCACTTGCAGAGGTCTAGGAGTTTGGTAAAACCTGACTCCGCATCAAGTTTTTGGCGCCGTTGCCGGGGACTGCAGCAGTACCTTTGGAACTCGACTAGGATCTAGTCTAGAACCTTTTCCTGTTTTGCTTTTCTTTTGCTTTTGAATTTTTAGTTTTTGATTTCTTTTCTTTGATTTTTGCTTTTGTTTTTGTTTTTCCCTTTTGATTTAACTTGTTTCCTAGACTCTTTTCAGGTGCATGACTAGGAGGTCCAACAAGGACAACCTAGTTGAACATCCAGAGATAGACAAGCTTGAGAAGCAACTTAGGAAGCAAAAGCCCAAGAGATGGCCGACGAAGCAGCTCGCGCTCACGCCGCTGAAGTGGCGCGCGCTCAAGAAGAAGGAAGAGATCCACCTCCTCCTCCTCCTAATCCACAAGACCCTGCTGGAGATGTGAATGTGCACAACCTCAAGCGGAGCACCAAACAATCGGAGACTATGACTCTGCCGATGCTTTCTTCATGGATAGAAACCCTATCCATCCACCACTTCCTGCAAGGAATGACTATGAGATCAAGCCTCAGATCATAGCATTGGTTAGACAGAACCAATTCAATGGCCTTCCAGCTGAGCACCTCTTGATCACATAGAAAACTTTGAAGAAATTTGCAGCACTACAAGATCCAATGGAGTCTCTGCTGACTACCTTAAGTGCAAGCTCTTTTCATTCTCTCTTGGCGACAAAGCTTCAAGATGGTTGAAGTCTCTGCCAGCTCACTCCATTACCACTTGGGATGAGTACAAGGCCGCTTTCATCAACCACTTCTACACCAAGCAAAGATCAATTTCTGTAAGGAACAAGATCTCCAACTTTCGCCAAGCCAACAATGAATCTTTCTATGAGGCGCTAGATCGATTCAAGGAGTACATTAGGGACTGCCCTAATCATGGTTTCAATGAGGGAAACCTATGGAACATCTTCTATCGTGGCATAGACCACAAGTACAAGCTTTCATTGGACACTGCAAGCAATGGAAACTTCATGACCAAGACTGTTGATGAAGCTAAGGTTCTTATTGAGAATCTTGCAGCTAGTGATTGTAACAACTGTCCTGATTATGACCGCTCAAGCCGCACCACTACTAGCTCCCCTGATTCTTTTCAAATGACTGAACTCAAGAACATGATGGCTCAAGTTCTTAAGGGACAGCTCAAGCATATCAATGCAATAGAAGGGATGAGTGATGCTAATGAAGACCCATCAAGAGAATGCATGGGAGATTTCTCTAATGAAGCCAATGAAGAAGATGTGAACTACATTGGAAACTATGGGAACAAGGGATACAATCCAAGCTATCGCCCAAACCCCAACATGTCTTATAGAAACCCCAATGTGGAGAATCCTCAAGACCAAGTGTATCCTCCAAGGTATCCACAACAACAAAGACCTCCTTACCAATCTCAAGGAAGTCAATTTCAGCCAAGGCAAGGATATGAGCAGAGATCATCATATCCGCCCAAGGAGCCATATGCTTCTTCACCAAATCAAGCTCCTCCAAACCAACAAGGTGGGAGATTTGAAGGAATCCTCCAACAGATCATGGATGGCCAGAAGAGAAACAAAAGAGATGTATGAGAAGATGGACACTTTGTTCAGCAATCTCAACACCAAGTATGATGCTGTTGCCACTCATGTGAAGAAACTAGAGACTCAAGTCACTCAAACTATGGAAGCTTGATGATAGGATTTTGTGTGGATGTGAATGATATGAATGAAGGATGATATGAGGTGGAATGCAAACAGGGTGAATAAAGATGAAATGGTGCAATCACAATCAATCAATTCCTCTTAACCATCATAGTCATTGAAGTATAAGAGGTTATCAATCCAAAATGGGAAACTTGTCACTCTTTGAGAATATGAAACAACCAGAAGTCAAGCAAGCAGTTAATAGATTTGAAGTAACACTAACAACCTAAAAAAATGAAAAGCAGTGCAATAAAAGTAAACAAAGCAGTGAAGTGTCAGCTCGACCAAGACTCGAGTCGAGTCAGAGCAAAGTACCAGCTCGATCGAGTTTAGGGACGAGTTGAGACAAACAAAGCTAAAGGTGACGACTTTAACAAGATAAAGAGAGAATTAGGGTTCAAGACAGGGTTTTGCAATCAAAGGAATCTACACTTAATCAATCTAGCTCTTAAAACTCCTTGTATCAAGGCTTCTCTTGATATTGGGCTTCTCAATGCCTAGCCAACCCTTTCCCAAGGTGGAGGCTATCAACCAAGGAATGATCTCAGAAACAGGGGGTTAGCCAGTGAGAATCAAACCTTGGAGGCTATAGGATCATTGCCCAAACTAATCCATCCAACCCCTTAGACCTCTATTGTCTAGAGCAAGAGATATTGGAGCTCTTAGTGGATCTTTTCCAGCGAATGCCATCACTTTCGTGTGGGGAGTCGCCTAAGGACTTACAAGCCAGGGGTAGTGGTCATGTAGCCTTAAGATCTATCCAAAAGAGAGAGAATCTAGATTAAGACCATAAGCTAGAAGGATTAAGCATATGAAACCTCTAATCTATCCCATCTCAAACCCTAATGGGTAACTACTCACTACACATGAATGTAAACACAAGCAAATGCAATAAAAGAGACATCATAAGAAAGAGGAGATGAAATTAAACAACTTTTATTGAAATAAGCAAGTGCAAATACAAAGAGATTATCCAGGATCTAGGATTCAAGAAGCAAGAGCTTCAAGAACACAAAGATGGGATTAGATCTCTAAAAAGTAAAAGACAATAAATTAAAAGAAACTAAAACAAAATAATCTAAAGCTTGGTGGTTTTTTCGTGGCTTAGAGCCTTTAAATACAAGAGGATTAGGTTTAGGGTCAAAGGAAAGTCAAGGGGGAAGCAACATTTTTCGGGTTTGACTTTGACTTCTCAGCTCGATCGAGTTGAAGCTTGGCCGGTCGAGTTGAGGAACTCGACCGGTTGGTCGAGTAGACGGTCGAGCTGGTCTTCAAGATGGCTTCTCCCTTCTTCCTTTGCGTATCCAGTTGAGCTGCTTCCATGTGCCAAGTCCCTCCATGCTCCTTATGTCCCATATGCTCCAGAATGCTCCAAAAGACCTATTTCAAAGGACCAAACATGCATATGTATGCAAATGCAACCTAAAACTAACATGAATGCATAAGAAGAGAAAAGGAACAAGATATGATGCAAATGGAAGCTAAAACTATGCAAAAGATGCATAAAAGATGTGCTAAAACTATGTAAAATGCAAGTACATCAACACCCCCAAACTTGAACTTTGCTTGCCCTCAAGCAAACAAATAGAACAAGAAAGAGATGAGGTTTGAAAATAAGCTGATTCAACACTTAAAAACATGTCCTCAAAAGCGATTTGCTAAATGTCCAACTTAGAGATTCTAGAATGCAACAAGGTGAGAGATATTCATTAAGATTTAACCATGCTTATCAACATCAATCCCACTTCACAGTCACTCAAACAATGCATTCAAATCAGCAAATCCCTTTAACATTCATTAAGCAAAAACAGTGAACCAAAAACATGCAAGATCAATCAACTCATTTGGTTTCAAGGGTTTATGGGTTAAGAGACAAAGAGGGTCTCTTTTGTATGGTGGTTTAGTAACAGGGATCTCTCAAGAAAGTGGCTTTGCTTTGGCAGAAGGCTAAGTGTTAGAACCAAAGATGATGCAAGAACAGCAGCTCGAGCCGCCTAATCCTAACTCGATCGAGTTCAACACTTAGAGCTTTTTAGAACAAAATCCTAACTACCCTTTTTGGCATTTCGCCTTTGAAACTGAGGAGCTTTGCTCACTTTTCTTTTAAGAACTTCCTAGGGAGAGGCTTCTTGAGGTAACATCTAGCGGTTTGGGATTTTCTAAACACTTAGGGAACTTTTCTTTCCTTTTTGACACTTGAGGCTTTGCCTTCTTTTCATTCTACTTAGAACCCTTTTTACTTCCTTTTTTAACTTCCCAAACCTTTACTTTTGGAGAGTATATGAAACCTAAGATCTGATGCTAGTTGATCAGAAAAGCAAGCAGCAATGAATTCAAGCAGAGGCGAAGATGCGATATATAAAACCCTAGGCTTCTAACAACCTATCAAACCATGAACTCTTTGATAGATCTCACAACCTAACTAGTGAATTACTCAGACATAATCAAAGCAAAAACACAAAGAGATGAAGAAAACATGATTGCAATAAAACTCAAGTATGAAATCGTGATACAAGGCGGCTCTCTCTTCACAAGAGGCTAAAAAGCTATATATATAGTGCTAGGTCTTTTGAGGCGGCTTAGGGTTAAGCCGGGCCTTGAAAATATGAAATCGGGCTTCAAAACGGGCTTCGGGTCGACCGCGGCGTTGGGACGGTCGGCGGGACGATCGGCCGGACAGTCGGATCGTGGGCGAGTCGGAACGGTCGTGGCCGGATGATTCTTCGGTCGGCCGGCGTGGTCGGACGGGTGAGGACTTTGGCCGATGGTTTCTCGGCCGGACGTGGGACGTTCTTTCCCGGCTCGGACGGATGCATCGGCCGTGGTACGCGAAGTGGGTTGCGCGGCCGCGAGGCTTGTTCCCCGGCTCGCGCGGCATGGTCGTGCGCGGCGTGGCGTGAAACGGTTGTAGCTTGGCCGACCGCGGGCATGTTTCCCGGGTCGTGATTGTGATCGGCCGGTCGGTTTCGAACTTTGGCCGAGACTTCAGACGGACGGATATGACTTTGGCCGAGCGTGGAACGTTCGTTCCTCGGCCAGCCGGACTGCGCGGTTGGGCGCTGATTCTCGATAGAGCCGTCTGGACAGTCTTCACTCTTTTGGTTATAACTCCTTTTCTACTCATCCAAATTAGGCCGTTCCAGTTGCGTTGGAAAGTTAACTCAATCAGAGCACGCAGGGAACTGGTCTTGATGAAATCCATTGAGTAGATCTTTTTCTGGGCCCTCTTAAAGTTGGTGCTTGTGCATGGAGCGGCTTGAAGTGCAAATCCTATGGTTTTGCTCCAAAATGCATCATTTCACCTGTTTAGACTCTAGACACTATAAACACAGTAAAACTACCAAAAACCATTAGAAAACAATGCTAAAACAGTATAAAAAGCATGTAAAATAGAGGTATATCAACGTCCCGACCAGTCCGGTGGACACAAAGCCGATTTTGAAGCCCGTTTAACACGATTTAAAGCCCAATTACCATGCCGACTTTATAAACCTAGGTCTAGCTGCTCTTCTATACTTAGAGCATTATAAATACATCTTTTAGCCTTGTAACTCAAGAAGGAGGGAGAGACCTCGATTTACTTTTACATCTTTAATAAAGTTCTTGCTTGTACTTTGCTTTTGGTTGTTCTCTTACTAGAGAGGATTTCGGATCTCTGTTCTTATGAATATGAATTCGATCTCCTTCTTTATGTCTGAGTAGTTTACTTGTTAAGTGATAGGAAATCAAAGGATAATATTCATGTTTGCTTGATAATCGATTATGATGAATTAGGGTTTTACATAAACTCTTCACCTTTACTTGTGTGCAAAGCTTGTTGTTAATCTGGCCAATTAGCATATGATCATGGGTAAACTTGAGCCACGGAAGTGTTGAATCATTCGCCTGAACTAATATTTGGTGGGCAATCACTTTTAGACTGCAACAGTTGATCTACTTGTAGGTTGTGAACAATTGAGACTCATTCGCTTTAATGTTTGATTTAATCATCTAGGGACATACTGATGATAGGATTTGTGTGTGTGATGTGATGATAAGATATGAAATGTAAATGAGGTGGAATGCAACAGTGGTAAATGAAGATGGGATGGTATGGTGCAAACACAATCACAATCAATCAATTCCCCTTAACCATCATAGTCATTGAAGTATAAGGGGTATCAATCCATAAGGGTGAAATGTTACTCTATGAGGATATGCAATCACAAGGAAGTCAAGCAGACAGTAAATAAGATGATAACAACTCAAACAACCTAATGAAACAGAAATGCAATGCAAAAAGTAAAGAAAGCAGTAAAGCAAGCAGCTCGACCAAGGACTCGATCGGTCGAGTTGAGGGTCGAGTTAGCGTAAAAAGCGATAAAGGCAGGAACTTTAACAAGCTAATGCGAATATTAGGGTCTAAGACAGGGTCTTACAATCAGGGAAGACTATACTTAATCAATCTTGCTCTCAAACAACTTGTATCAAGGTATCTCTTGATATTGAGCTTCTCAATGCCTAGCTAGCCCTTTCCCAAGGTGAAAGCTATCATCCAAGACATGATCTCAGAAACAGGGGGTTAGCCAGTGAGAGTCAAGCCTTGGAGGCAGTAGGATCATTGCTCAAACTAATCCATCCAACACCTATGAACTCCATTTCGAGAGCAAGGTTTATTGGAGCTCTTAGTGGACATTTTCAAGCGATTTCCCAACACTTCCATGTGGAAAATCGCCTATGAACATACAAGCCAGGGATAGTGGTCATGTAGCCTTAAGGTTTGTCCAAAAGAGAGAGATTTCTAGATTAAGAACATAAGCAAAAGAGATTAAGCATAAGAATCCCCTAATCTAGCCCATCTTGGACCCTAAAGGTAACTACTCACTACACATGAATGAAAACACAATCAAATGCAATGAAGAAGACATTAAACGAAAGAGGGAAAGAAACTAAAGAACTTTTATTGAAATAAGCAAGTTGATGATAGGATTTTAGGTGGATGTGATAATATGATATGAACGAAGGATATGAGATGAGGTGGAATGCAAACAGGGGTGAATAAAGATGATATGGTATGGTGCAATCACAATCAATCAATTCCTCTTAACCATCATAGTCATTGAAGTATAAGAGGTTATCAATCCAAAATGGGAAACTTGTCACTCTTTGAGAATATGAAACAACCAGAAGTCAAGCAAGCAGTTATAGATTTGAAGTAACACTAACAACCTAAAAAAATGAAAAGCAGTGCAATAAAAGTAAACAAAGCAGTGAAGTGTCAGCTCGACCAAGAGCTCGAGTCGAGTAGAGCAAAGTACCAGCTCGATCGAGTTTAGGGACGAGTTGAGACAAACAAAGCTAAAGGTGACGACTTTAACAAGATAAAGAGAGAATTAGGGTTCAAGACAGGGTTTTGCAATCAAAGGAATCTACACTTAATCAATCTAGCTCTTAAAACTCCTTGTATCAAGGCTTCTCTTGATATTGGGCTTCTCAATGCCTAGCCAACCCTTTCCCAAGGTGGAGGCTATCAACCAAGGAATGATCTCAGAAACAGGGGGTTAGCCAGTGAGAATCAAACCTTGGAGGCTATAGGATCATTGCCCAAACTAATCCATCCAACCCCTTAGACCTCTATTGTCTAGAGCAAGAGATATTGGAGCTCTTAGTGGATCTTTTCCAGCGAATGCCATCACTTTCGTGTGGGGAGTCGCCTAAGGACTTACAAGCCAGGGGTAGTGGTCATGTAGCCTTAAGATCTATCCAAAAGAGAGAGAATCTAGATTAAGACCATAAGCTAGAAGGATTAAGCATATGAAACCTCTAATCTATCCCATCTCAAACCCTAATGGGTAACTACTCACTACACATGAATGTAAACACAAGCAAATGCAATAAAAGAGACATCATAAGAAAGAGGAGATGAAATTAAACAACTTTTATTGAAATAAGCAAGTGCAAATACAAGAGAGATTATCCAGGATCTAAGATTCAAGAAGCAAGAGCTTCAAGAACACAAAGATAGGATTAGATCTCTAAAAAGTAAAAGTACAATAAATTAAAAGACTAAAACAAAAGTAATCTAAAGCTTGGTGGTTTTTTCGTGGCTAAGAGCCTTTAAATACAAAGAGGATTAGGTTTAGGGTCAAAGGAAAGTCAAGGGTTTAGCGGTTTGGGAGAGGCTTCTTGAGGTAACATCTAGCGGTTTGGGATTTTCTAAACACTTAGGGAACTTTTCCTTCCTTTTTTGACACTTGAGGCTTTGCCTTCTTTTCATTCTACTTAGAACCCTTTTACTTTCCTTTTTTTAACTTCCCAAACCTTTACTAGACCCTTTTAACACTGCCAACTCCCTGGACTTAACCAAACTCTTTTTCCTTTGGGTTTTTCCCAACTTTTACCACTTTTCTGGTTTTTACACCCAACTCGATCGAGCTCGAGTTGGCACCCCCAAACTTAGCCTGAAAACAATCCCAAGAGAACTAGACAACTAGAACTACTGCCCCTGCCGGTTTAAACACAACACCTTATGCTAAGCAAAGCCAAGAAAGGTTCTCACATTCGCACAAGAGATAAAATGGGGTTTGAAATGAAAAAGGCTTAGGTTTAAGGTGTGGTAACTGTCTCAAAGATGGAGATCAGCTATCTGGACAAGCAAAAGGGATATGAAAATAGGTAAAGAATGTCCAGATATGTATGTGGTAGCCATGAGTTGAAATCAAATGCAAGCATTGGTAATTAAAGATCAAGTTATGGTTCAAATAGATAGGGAAATGCATCAAATCACAGCAATGGTTGAATGAGATGTGCATGCAGCGATATGATCAAGATAAACATGGTTCTTGCTGCTCAATCAATCTCACCCTAATGCACAAAAGAATCTAAAAACAGGGCACTCAAGAAATCGCAAAAGATGGACAAGTTTTCAAAGTCAAATCAACAATGCAAGTGAAAAATGCAATCCTAAACAAGTCTACAAATATGAATGCAAAAAGATGAAAATATTTTTGGATTTTTTGAAAATTTTATGATTTTTTTGGTTTTTTTCTATGCAAAAGATAAATGAAAAACTAAGAACAAAGAAAACAAGGTTAAATCATCTCTTGAACCCTCCCCCAAACTTAAATCACACAGTCCCTTGTGTGAGAAAAATTTAGTGAAAGATTCAAGAGGGCAAAACCAAGAAAAAACAAGAACAAATGCAAGAAATATGAAATGGTATATACAAGGGTTGGTGTTTGGATACCTCAGTGCCCCCCAAAGAACTGGGAGGCTAGGTCGTGGTCTGGAGATGGTAGACGGCCATCAGGAACGCTCCACTCGACTGGGTTCGGCTCACTCGATCGAGCTTGTGGCTCCTCTTCCTCCTCTTCTTCATCGTTGAAATGTGTGTGGCTTCCTTGGCCTTGGAGGAGCTGCGCTTGCTCAAAGCGGTTGTAGGGAGTCCAAAGAGTCTGAGAGAAGTCCTGGTACTGCGTTGAATCGTACTCGAACCCGGGGTTCTCAAACAGGGGCTCCTCCAGGTCAACTCGACCCCAGCTCGATCGAGTTGAGTTTCCTCTGTTTGGACTCGATCAAGTCCGGTGGTCGAGTTGGAGCCTGACCTTGGAGCTCTTCCTCCTTCTCTGGAGTTGTCTTCCCCTTCCCTTGGCTCAAATGATGAGGCCCTGTGAGGCTTGTGGGCAGAGCCTCCTTGGAGTGGTGAGGAGTGATCTACTCCTAGGGAAAGTGGGGGCCTTGGACTTCTTCTTCTTGCTTGAAGAACCAGAAACTTTCTTCTCCAAGTTTGATCTTGCTCACCATCTTGTCCATGGACTTTTGCATCTTTTCCATGGCTTTCCCTTGCCACTTGTTGAACCTTTGGAGAAGTCCAATCCTCTTGTGGGCAGCCACAACAGAGGGGTTCATCCTTGGAGCCTCATACTCCTCAAAGTAGTAGCACTCAGGCTCACCCAAATCCTGCATTCATGGCGTTGTCTCAACTCGATCCTCAGCTCGATCGAGTTCAGGCTCCTCTTCTCGCAAATCTCTTCATGCCCAACTAATGTGTAAAGTGGGGGGCTGAAGTCAATGTTGGTACCTCCTAGACCGTGGTGAGCTCAGGGTTGGGTAGAAGAAGCTTGGAGGGGCCAGCCAAAGGGATGAGTGAATTTGAATTGGAACCTCCCATCCAACTCCTTGTGTTCAATGAAGAGGTTGGTCTTGCAAAACTTAATATCCATCCACCCTGCTGGAGTAGACCTTCTCTTGTCCAAATGGACTCCAGCTGCACAGAGGATAGGCGTGATGACTCCTCCAACACTAAGCTTCCTTCCCTTTTGAAACGAGTGCTATAGGCGGTGGTCTTGTAGGAGAGTAGCTGGTCAATGAGAGGCATGAGGTTCCCTGCATGGATTCTATCTCCCCTGATCTTCCTCCCATCCTTGGTGCGTGAGATGATGGGCTTGATTCCCATGTCAAGGAGCTTCACTTCTCCCTCATTTATTGTCCCAGTCGCCTTCCTTGCAAAGAAGGTGTTGGCGAGAGCCTTGTGCACATATCTCAACACTGGGCTCCTGATTTGAGCTGCCTTAGACCTGAGGAAGAGTATACCCCATCAGCGATTGTAGCCCAAACCCTTTGTAGCTCATCTTCCTTGATATCCCAATGGGTTCCCTCTCCATAAGTGAAACCGAAAAGGATCTCCAACTGCCTGAAGGTCACTGCCTTCCTTTCTCCTCTTGCCAAGAACGTGATCCATCCCCAACCTTGGTCCAACTCAGCTCGATCGAGCTGCCTGTACTTGTGGAACCTCATTGATGCCAAGAACTCACAAGTGAGCTCCTTGTATGACTCCAAGCGGTAAGAGAAGAACTTGGCCAAGGCGCATGTTCTTGAGGACCAGCTCCACATCATCAAAGATCCCAAGAGCCTTCATTGTGTCATCATGTGGGTACTTGGTCTCCACAAAGTCCATGGAGAAGAGAGCATCATAATGCTCTTGGTACATGGGGAGCTCATCCTCTTCTTCCTCTGACTCCTCCTCTTCCATGGGCACATTCTCATTGCTCTCATGCTCACTTCTCCTCAATCTCTTGATTGACCTCTTCGCCCTCTTCTTCACTTGGGGACTCATCATTCTCCTCATGTGGGATGTTTACTCCAATTTCAAACTCTCCTACTTCGCTCTCACTGCTGATAGGATCATTCCTTCTCTTGGTTCTCCTCTCTTCCCTAAATTTCTCGCTTTCAGAACGCTCCTCAGAGGAGGCATGCCTTTCTTTCATCTGCTGGTTCTCTCTTCCCTTGATCTCACATATTCCAATCCCTCATCTATGACATCCTTTCTCTCATTCTTCTTGCCTTCTCTGCCCTTTGCTTTCTCCCCAATGCTGCTTGGCTTCCTTCACCTCTCAACATCTTGAACTTGTTGCTTCTTGAGTTGGGTTCCTGAAATGGATCAAAAACTCAAAGAATTAGAGTTGCAATCGTTGGTTCGGCCAACTCGACACTCAACTCGATCGAGTCAAAAAACTCGAGTGACAAACTCGATCGAGCTGGGTGAAAACAGAGTATAACCGAACCTAATTCAAGAATAAGAGCTGGAAAAGATGCTAATCAAACAAATTGAACCAGTAACATCAAGTTAAGGGAACAAAGAGCAATTCTAGTGAAGCGCTTAGCATTTTAACCAATACCAAACTCAAATTCAAATTTTCAAGCACATGCAACAAGTTCTAATGATAAAACAGAGGTGAGGTGAAGGCAAATTCACAAGATTATGCAAATATGAAGTAAAAAGGAAAGCAATTACTCAAGGCAAGTCCTCAAGGGACACATGCAATCAAAAATCAAAGGAAACAAGCAATAGGAAATCGAGATGAAGTAATCAAGGGTTTCAAGTGTTCATACCTTGCTTGGATGATGGAAGAATCACAGAAACAAGAACTAAGCAATTGAGAACAAAGGTCAAAGAGAAATCGCAAAAACTTAGGAGAAAAGAGAGAAATCGATTTTTTCTTGTGGTGATGAGAGAGAGAGATGATTTTCAGATTTTAAGATTGTGGGAGAGAGAGAGGGTGGATTCGATCGAGTTATGGGGAAGAGGGGTGTTTGAGATGTGTGGTTGAGATTAAAAGATGAAATAAAGAGGGAACAAGAAGCTAGGGATTCTCTGATCAAATTAGGGTAGTGGGGGACCAAAATCAGCTTGTGGGACCCACTCCCTTGACCAAGAAAACGGTTATGAATTTGAAATTCAAAAACTTACCTCGGTCGAGTTGTGTAGCTCGATCGAGTTGCCCTGGTTTCTAGCTCGATCGAGCTATCGGTCGAGCTGGCTCCTTTGACACCTAAACTTAACTTATTCAAAGGTTAAAAACATAAAGATAGATAGAAATTGCATAAATAGAGTATGTACAAGGATAAACATGGGACTTCCTCCCAAGTGAGCTTGTTTAAGGTCCCATAGCTTGACCTTTACCTTTAGGCATTGGTTGAGCTAGTCCCACCATCAAGGGTGATAGTGAGGACTTGAGACAGAAGCTCCTTTAGCTTGGTTGGGTCCCTGGACTGTTCTGAAGTCACCAAGGCCTTGGCTCTAGAGAATGGCCTTGATCTCCCCTTGTACCTTATCTTGTACTCAATCTTCCCATTTTCAAACTTGGTGGGGAACAAGGTCATTGTGAGCTGAGATGGCTTGACTGAAGGGGCCTGAGCTGGTGGATCCTTTCTTTTATCTCCTGGTCTTGCCTTAGAGGCTGCATCCTCCCCTTCTTGTAGAGCCCTTCCTAGTGGCTCATCAAACAAAGCTTGAAGGCTCTCTTCATCAAGCACACAAGGGGCTTGAACAAGTCTCTCAGCTCTTGGCCTATCAGATCGTGGTTTCTCAACTCTAGCCCTCTCAAGACGAAATTGCTTGCTTGACTTCCTGGTTGTTTCATATTCATCAAGAGTAACAAGTTTCCCATTTTGGCGCCGTTGCCGATTTGGGAATATTTTTGTTGCATTTGAGTTTCAAACACACTTGGACGATCAAGCTATACCACCCCTGTTCTATTGTACTGCTGGGTTTTTGTCTCTTTTTGCAGGTGTATGCGAACTCGATCGAGTCGGTCAACTGAAGACTTGGTCGAGCTAGACTTACAACGGGTAGAAAGAGGGTTCAGAGGTCACAGAGGGTACAAGAGGAACCTGAGGTGCTTGTTGCTGATACAATGGATGTACCAGAGGGGAATGGAAACCCTTTGGGAATGGACTCGGTCGAGCTAGGCAAACTCGACCGATTGGTCAAGGAGATGCTCCAAACCGCCACCAACAGAGACAAGGGATTGTTCCACCACCAGTGCAGAACCACAACTTTGAGATCAAGCTGGGAATGATCAACCTTGTCCAGAACAAGATGTTCCATGGATTGCCAAGTGAAGACCCCATTGACCACCTTGATGAGTTTGATAGGCTTTGTGATTTGACAAAGATCAATGGTGTCTCTGAAGATGCCATCAAGCTGAGACTCTTTCCTATGTCTCTAGCTGACAAAGCTCACCAATGGGAGAAGAGCTTGCCCCATGGCACAATCACCACTTGGGATGAATGCAAGAAGGCCTTTCTTGCTAAGTTTTTCTCCACCGGTCGCACAGCCAAGCTTAGAGGAGAGATATCCAGCTTCATCCAGCGAAACAATGAGACATTCGCAGAGGCTTGGGAGAGGTTCAAAGGCTACACAAGTCAGTGCCCACACCATGGATTCAACAATGAATCACTACTCTCCACTCTTTATAGAGGATGCTTGCCTAGGTATAGGGAGATGCTAGACACAGCTAGCAATGGGAACTTCCTCAACCAGGATGTAGATGATGGCTGGCAACTTGTGGAGAACATGGCCATATCAACAGAATGCTATGGAGAGCACTATGAAAGTACAGACTGGAGCTCGACCGCGCACTCGATCGAGCTGGACGCTCAGATGAGAAAAGACATGCTTGCACTCAACTCGAAGTTGGACAAACTGATCCTAGCCCAATTCCCTGCCAAGCATGTCAACTATGTCTCAGAACAAACCTAGTCAAGGACCAGGAAGGGGAGGAGACAACACAAGAAGTTTGCTACATTCAAAATAGACAAGGAAGCTATAGGAATCCTCAACAAGGGCGATACAACAATTATCAAGCCCCCTGGCCGCACACAACAAAGTGTTCCACAAGGCTTCAACACAAGGACTACTCATACCCAACCAACTCAAGATTGGGATATGAAGGAAATGCTCCAACAACTTTTACAAGGGCAAGCCAAAGGTTCTCTGGAAATGAACAACAAGCTGGTTGAGATACACTCTAAACTAGAGTCATTGACTTCAAGAGTCCAAATCATTGAGTCTTCAAGTGCATCATCCTCTTCACCACAAGAGTATGCCCAAGCAGTTACACTAAGAAGTGGAGCAATTCCCAGTAGAGGTAGCCCACCCCAAATCGCTGTGGACATCGATGACGAGGAAGGGGAGGATTTAGTCGACTATGCTGATAACTCGACCCGAACTCGATCGAGCTGGAACAAAACCCTGAACCAGAACTCGATCGAGCTGGAGAAACTGAGACACTGCAAGACAAACCAGAGCTCGATCGAGCCAGAAGAGAGCAGACAAAGCAAACTCCAGCCAACCAGCTAAACCTGTTGCAAAGAAGAAAGACACTCCAGCAGGACCACCACCATACAAGCCCCCTCTGCCCTTTCCAGGAAGGTTCAAGAAACAACTGTTGGAAGCACACAAGGCCAAGTTTGATGAACTAATGAGACAGCTTGAGTTGAAGTTGCCCTTCATCGACGCCTTGATGCTCATTCCACCTTATCAGAAATTTCTGAAGGATGCTGTTCAGCAAAGAACCAGGGAAGCACAAGGGATGGTAGTGTTGACTCGCGAGTGCAGTGCAATCATTCAGCGGAAGGTCATCTCCGACAAAAAGGAAGATCCGGGGAGTTTCACTTTGCCCTGCATGTTGGGACCCCTATCTTTCAAAAACAGTCTCTGCGATCTAGGATCATCTGTCAGCCTCATGCCTTTGTCTGTAGCAAAGAGACTGGGATATCACAAGTACCAAGCCTGCGGAATCTCACTAGTCTTGGCAGATAGATCGATAAGGTTACCAACTGGGATGCTTGAAGACCTGCCTTTGAGGATAGGGAATGTGGAGAATCCCCACAGACTTCATTGTGCTTGAGATGGATGAGGAACCAACAGATCCATTGATTCTAGGAAGGCCATTCCTAGCTACAGCAAGAGCAATGATAGATGTCTGTGAAGGAACAATTGAGTTAAACTTGGGAAAGGACCTGAAGATGAAGTTTGATATCAAGGATACAATGAGGAAACCAACTATAGAAGGTCAGCTCTTTTATGTTGAGGAAATGGATCAGTTGGCAGATGAGCTTCTAGAAGAGTTATCAACAGAGGATCCCTACAAGTTGCTTTGACCAAGGATTCTTCAGAGGGATATGTGAGCTCAGAAACTGATGAGTACAAGAAGCTCCTTGACACCTTCAGACCAGTTCCAAACATTCTGAGCATTGAGGGATTGGACAGGCCAGTTTGCGAAGTCATGGCAGTGAGCTCGATCAAGAACTCGATCGAGTCGAGTTTCGAACAAACGAACTCGATCGAGCTGGGGGCTGAATGCAAGGAGCAAGCTCAAGGAGATTGGTCTGAGCTTAAGGCGCCTAAAGTCGACCTCAAACCTTTGCCTGAGGGCCTCAGGTATGCATTTCTGGGTGAAAACTCAACTTACCCTGTCATTGTGAACTCTGATTTGGAACCTGAACAGTTGAGTGCTTTGCTTGTTGAATTGAGGAAAGTACAGAAAGGCAATAGGTTACACTCTAGATGATATCAAGGGGATCTCCCCTGACCTATGCATCCATAGGATTCATCTAGAGGATGAAAGTAAGTCAAGCATTGAACCTCAGAGAAGGTTGAACCCCAATCTAAAGGAAGTAGTGAAGAAAGAGATACTCAAGTTGCTTGATGCTGGGATAATCTATCCCATCAGTGATAGCACTTGGATATCTCCAGTTCATTGCGTCCCAAAGAAAGGGGGGATCACTGTCATTAAAAACGACAAAGAGGAGCTGATTCCCACTAGAACAATAGTGGGGCATCGCATGTGTATTGACTATAGGAAGCTAAATTCAGCATCTAGAAAGGATCATTTCCCTCTCCCTTTCATTGATCAGATGTTAGAAAGATTGGCAAACCACCCTTTTTATTGTTTTCTTGATGGCTACAGTGGTTTCTTCCAAATCCCGATCCACCCTAATGATCAGGAGAAGACCACTTTCACATGCCCTTATGGCACCTTTGCTTATCGAAGGATGCCATTTGGGCTGTGCAATGCTCCAGCTACTTTCCAGAGGTGCATGACCTCCATTTTTTCAGATCTGATAGAGGAGATGGTAGAAGTCTTCATGGACGATTTCTCAGTCTATGGAGCATCCTTCTCCTCATGTTTGTCTAACTTGTGCAGGGTGTTGCAGAGGTGTGAGGAGACCAATCTAGTACTCAACTGGGAGAAGTGCCACTTCATGGTTCGAGAAGGGATTGTGCTTGGACACAAGATTTCCGAGAAAGGGATCGAGCTCGATCGAGCTAAGGTGGATGTCATGTTGCAGCTCCCTGTTCCCAAGACTGTGAAGGACATAAGGAGTTTTCTGGGTCATGCAGGGTTCTACAGAAGATTCATCAAGGATTTCTCAAAGATAGCAAGACCCTTGACAAGGCTTCTGTGCAAGGAGACAGATTTTGAGTTTGATGAAGAATGCCACAAGTCTTGGACCTTGCTGAAGGATGCTCTGGTATCTGCGCCAATAGTACAAGCTCCAAACTGGGATCACCCATTTGAGATTATGTGTGATGCATCTGACTATGCAGTAGGAGCAGTGCTTGGCCAAAAGATAGACAAGAAACTCAATGTCATCTACTATGCAAGCAAGACTATGGATGATGCTCAGTGCAAGTATGCAACCACAGAGAAGGAGCTCCTTGCCATAGTCTTTGCCTTTGAGAAGTTTCGAAGCTATATAGTTGGATCCAAGGTGATTGTGCACACTGACCATGCTGCCCTTAGACACATCTTCGCTAAGAAAGATACAAAGCCAAGACTTCTCAGATGGATCCTTTTGCTTCAAGAGTTTGATAGAAGTTGTGGACAAAAAGGGAGTAGAAAATGGAGTTGCTGATCATCTCTCTAGGATGCGAGTTGAAGACATGATCCCCATCAATGATTCTATGCCTGAAGAACAGCTTATGGCAATCATGATCTTGAAGGAGAGTTTTGATGAGAAAGTCAGGCTGGAAGAAGTTAAGGCTCTGCGTGATGAGAATTTGCCATGGTATGCTGATATAGTGAACTTCATGGTGTCCGGAGAAGTCCCTAGTAGCTTTGATGCTTACAAGAGGAAGAAATTCTTCAAGGATGCTAGGCATTACTATTGGGATGAGCCCTACTTGTACAAGAGAGGACCAGACAGCATTTACAGGAGATGCATAGCTGAAGAGGATGTGCAAGGAGTTCTAGAGCATTGCCATGGGTCAGCTTATGGAGGTCACTTTGCTACATTCAAAACAGCAACTAAGGTTTTGCAATCTGGGTTTATGGTGGCCTACTTTGTTTAAGGATGCAGCAGCTACATTGCCAAGTGTGATCCATGCCAAAGGAAAGGAGGGATCACCAAGAGGGACGAGATGCCACTAAACCCAATTCTAGAAGTTGAGATCTTTGATGTATGGGGAATAGACTTCATGGGACCTTTCAAACCTTCTTCAAACGGGCACAACTACATTTTGGTTGCTGTGACTATGTATCCAAATGGATTGAAGCCATCCCCTGCCCAACCTGTGATGCCAAGGTGTTGTCAAGCTTTCAGAACCATCATCTTTCCAAGATATCGGCATCCCAAGGGTTGTTATTTCGGATGGAGGCTCCCATTTCATCAACAAGGTGTTTGAAAAGTTGATGAGAGCCATGGAGTCAAGCACAAGGTCGCCACCCTTATCACCCTCAAACCAGTGGGCAAGTTGAAGTCTCCAACAGACAGATCAAGGCCATATTGGAGAAGACTGTGAGCTTCACTAGGAAAGGACTGGGCAGCAAGGCTTGATGAGGCACTTTGGGCTTATAGAACAGCTTACAAAACCCCCATTGGAAGGTCTCCTTTCAATTTGCTGTATGGGAAGGACTGCCACTTACCTGTGGAGGTCGAATATAAGGCTTTATGGGCAGTAAAGATGCTGAACTTTGATATAAAGGCAGCACAAGAAAGGAGGGTAATGAACTTGTTTGAGTTGGAGGAGAATAAGAATGAATGCCTATGAGAACTCTAGGATTTACAAGATGAGAACCAAGGCAGCCCACGACAAACTGATTCGCCTTAAGGACTTCAAGGTTGGGGACAGTGTGCTCTTGTATAACTCCAAGCTAAGGTTGTTTCCCGGGAAGCTGAGGTCAAAGTGGGCGGGACCATTCAAGATTCACGAAGTTCTACCCTATGGGTCCCTCACTTTGCTCAATCAAGAGGGGAAGGAATTCACAGTGAATGGACATAGATGCAAGCCATATCTAGGAATGACCCCCACAGAGGAGATCATCACTCCTCTAGAAGATCCAACCCCGGCCTAAAAGGGGTAAGGTCAAGCTATGAGACCTAAAACAAGCTCACTTGGGAGGAATTCCCATGTCTATCTTTGTTTACATTTATCTTTTATTTTTCTGTTTTCTTGGCTAAGTCTAAGGAGCAGGTTTTAGGAAGGAAGTGCCAACTCGAACAACTCGATCGAGTCAAGAGCAAGCTCGATCGAGTGAGCCCAAGAGGCAACCCCAGTTGCATGGAGTGCTCCTGATGGCCGTCTCCCATCTCCAGACCACGACCTAGTCTCCCAGTTCTTTGGGGGACACTGAGGTATCCAAACACCAACCCTTGTATATACCATTTCATATTTTCTTTCATTTGTTCTTGTTTTTCTTGGTTTTGCCCTCTTGAATCTTTCACTGAATTTTTCTCACACAAGGGACTGTGTGATTTAAGTTTGGGGGAGGGTTCAAGAGATGATTTAACCTTGTTTTCTTTGTTCTTAGTTTTTCATTCATCTTTTGCATAGAAAAACCAAAAAAATCATAAAATTTTCAAAAAATCCAAAAATATTTTCATCTTTTTGCATTCATATTTGTTAGACTTGTTTAGGATTGCATTTTTCACTTGCATTGTTGATTTGACTTTGAAAACTTGTCATCTTTTGCGATTTCTTGAGTGCCCTGTTTTTAGATTCTTTTGTGCATTAGGGTGAGATTGATTGAGCAGCAAGAACCATGTTTATCTTGATCATATCACTGCATGCACATCTCATTCAACCATTGCTGTGATTTGATGCATTTCCCTATCTATTGAACCATAACTTGATCTTTAATTACCAATGCTTGCATTTGATTTCAACTCATGGCTACCACATACATATCTGGACATTCTTTACCATTTTCATATCCCTTTTGCTTGTCCAGATAGCTGATCTCTATCTTTGAGACAGTTACCACACCTTAAACCTAAGCCTTTTCATTTCAAACCCCATATTATCTCTTGTGCGATTGTGAGAACCTTTCTTGGCTTTGCTTAGCATAAGGTGTTGTGTTTAAACCGGCAGGGGCAGTAGTTCTAGTTGTCTAGTTCTCTTGGGATTGTTTTCAGGCTAAGTTTGGGGGTGCCAACTCGAGCTCGATCGAGTTGGGTGTAAAAACCAGAAAAGTGGTAAAAGTTGGGAAAAACCCAAAGGAAAAAGAGTTTAGTTAAGTCCAGGGAGTTGGCAGTGTTTAAAAAGGGTCTAGTAAAGGTTTGGGAAGTTAAAAAAGGAAGTAAAAAGGGTTCTAAGTAGAATGAAAAGAAGGCAAAGCCTCAAGTGTCAAAAAGGAAAGAAAAGTTCCCTAAGTGTTTAGAAAATCCCAAACCGCTAGATGTTACCTCAAGAAGCCTCTCCCTAGGAAGTTCTTAAAAGAAAAGTGAGCAAAGCTCCTCAGTTTCAAAGGCGAAATGCCAAAAAGGGTAGTTAGGATTTTGTTCTAAAAAGCTCTAAGTGTTGAACTCGATCGAGTTAGGATTAGACGGCTCGAGCTGCTGTTCTTGCATCATCTTTGGTTCTAACACTTAGCCTTCTGCCAAAGCAAAGCCACTTTCTTGAGAGATCCCTGTTACTAAACCACCATACAAAAGAGACCCTCTTTGTCTCTTAACCCATAAACCCTTGAAACCAAATGAGTTGATTGATCTTGCATGTTTTTGGTTCACTGTTTTTGCTTAATGAATGTTAAAGGGATTTGCTGATTTGAATGCATTGTTTGAGTGACTGTGAAGTGGGATTGATGTTGATAAGCATGGTTAAATCTTAATGAATATCTCTCACCTTGTTGCATTCTAGAATCTCTAAGTTGGACATTTAGCAAATCGCTTTTGAGGACATGTTTTTAAGTGTTGAATCAGCTATTTTCAAACCTCATCTCTTTCTTGTTCTATTTGTTTGCTTGAGGGCAAGCAAAGTTCAAGTTTGGGGGTGTTGATGTACTTGCATTTTACATAGTTTTAGCACATCTTTTATGCATCTTTTGCATAGTTTTAGCTTCCATTTGCATCATATCTTGTTCCTTTTCTCTTCTTATGCATTCATGTTAGTTTTAGGTTGCATTTGCATACATATGCATGTTTGGTCCTTTGAAATAGGTCTTTTGGAGCATTCTGGAGCATATGGGACAAGGAGCATGGAGGGACTTGGCACATGGAGCAGCTCAACTGGATACGCAAAGGAAGAAGGGAGAAGCCATCTTGAAGACCAGCTCGACCGTCTACTCGACCAACCGGTCGAGTTCCTCAACTCGACCGGCCAAGCTTCAACTCGATCGAGCTGAGAAGTCAAAGTCAAACCCGAAAAATGTTGCTTCCCCCTTGACTTTCCTTTGACCCTAAACCTAATCCTCTTTGTATTTAAAGGCTCTAAGCCACGAAAAAACCACCAAGCTTTAGATTATTTTGTTTTAGTTTCTTTTAATTTATTGTCTTTTACTTTTTAGAGATCTAATCCCATCTTTGTGTTCTTGAAGCTCTTGCTTCTTGAATCCTAGATCCTGGATAATCTCTTTGTATTTGCACTTGCTTATTTCAATAAAAGTTGTTTAATTTCATCTCCTCTTTCTTATGATGTCTCTTTTATTGCATTTGCTTGTGTTTACATTCATGTGTAGTGAGTAGTTACCCATTAGGGTTTGAGATGGGATAGATTAGAGGTTTCATATGCTTAATCCTTCTAGCTTATGGTCTTAATCTAGATTCTCTCTCTTTTGGATAGATCTTAAGGCTACATGACCACTACCCCTGGCTTGTAAGTCCTTAGGCGACTCCCCACACGAAAGTGATGGCATTCGCTGGAAAAGATCCACTAAGAGCTCCAATATCTCTTGCTCTAGAAATAGAGGTCTAAGGGGTTGGATGGATTAGTTTGGGCAATGATCCTATAGCCTCCAAGGTTTGATTCTCACTGGCTAACCCCCTGTTTCTGAGATCATTCCTTGGTTGATAGCCTCCACCTTGGGAAAGGGTTGGCTAGGCATTGAGAAGCCCAATATCAAGAGAAGCCTTGATACAAGGAGTTTTAAGAGCTAGATTGATTAAGTGTAGATTCCTTTGATTGCAAAACCCTGTCTTGAACCCTAATTCTCTCTTTATCTTGTTAAAGTCGTCACCTTTAGCTTTGTTTGTCTCAACTCGTCCCTAAACTCGATCGAGCTGGTACTTTGTCTACTCGACTCGAGCTCTTGGTCGAGCTGACCTTCACTGCTTTGTTTACTTTTATTGCACTGCTTTTCATTTTTTTAGGTTGTTAGTGTTACTTCAAATCTATAACTGCTTGCTTGACTTTCGGTTGTTTCATATTCTCAAAGAGTGACAAGTTTCCCATTTTGGATTGATAACCTCTTATACTTCAATGACTATGATGGTTAAGAGGAATTGATTGATTGTGATTGCACCATACCATATCATCTTTATTCACCCCTGTTTGCATTCCACCTCATTTCATATCACTTCACACACACACAAAATCCTATCATCAAGGGGGGAAGCAACATTTTTCGGGTTTGACTGTTAACTTCTCAGCTCGATCGAGTTGAAGCTTGGCCGGTCGAGTTGAGGAACTCGACCGGTTGGTCGAGTAGACGGTCGAGCTGGTCTTCAGGATGGCTTCTCCCTTCTTTCTTTGCGTATCCAGTTGAGTTGCTTCCATGTGCCAAGTTCCTCCATGCTCCTTATGTCCCATATGCTCCAGAATGCTCCAAAAGACCTATTCCAAAGGACCAAACATGCATATGTATGCAAATGCAACCTAAAACTAACATGAATGCATAAGAAGAGAAAAGGAACAAGATATGATGCAAATGAAAGCTAAAACTATGCAAAAGATGCATAAAAGATGTGCTAAAACTATGTAAAATGCAAGTACATCACAAGTGCAAATACAAAGCAAATAAACCTAGATCTAAGGTTCAAAGAGCATGAAGCTCAAGAACACAAAGAGAGTCCGTCCGAATGGGAGGCTGTTCTCCAATGGCTTCCATTAGCTTTCCCCAGCAAAGATCTGTCTTTGGCGATCCTTTAAACCTGGCACGCTTGTATCTATGAATTATAGGGTTAGAGAAACCGCAGGTTTCATCTGGGAGTCACTTGTCCATCTAGGAAAATCATTCGCCTAGTTCTCTCGGTGGTTCATGACCGAGCCCAGAGCCTTGCTCTTCAGTCTCCAAAAAGACAAAGCTTGTTGTCTTGCTAGTCCTAAGTTCTTTTGGGCCTCCTTCGTTTCTTTGGGCCTCAGCCCTCTCTCTAAATTATTGTAATATATAACTCTATATGAGTGGTTTCATCTCATTCTCTTGTAACTTCTTTTTTTATTTATTCAAGCTAAGCCCTTTATCAAAAAAATAGAAAAAAATATTTTAAGAATTTGATTGTAGAGGATCATTTATAGGATCATTTCCCAATATGTTTAGAACAATGTGGTCACACATTTTTTGAATTTGGCTTTTTAAGACCATTACTAGTAGAGTACCCGCACGTTTGTGCGGTGTGACGTTGTGGTTTTGTGTAGAAAATTTAAACCCTAAATCCGAACCCAACCAAAAAATCCTAATCAAAAATTTTAAAAACCCTAACTTTTTAATATGTCTAAACCCGTAAATCCAAAATCAAAAAAATCCTGAAAACCCTGAACTGAACAAAAAAAATCTGGAAACTTTTTCACCCCGAACCCGACCCAAATACCCTAATCAAAAATTTAAAATACTCAATTTTTTTAAATATATCTAAACCTGAAATCCAAAAAATCCGGAAAACCCTAAACTGAAAAAAAAAAACTCGAACCCAACCCGAACAGAAATTTTGAAAAAAAAACCCGAACAATTTCTATATCTCTATATCTCTAAAAATTAGGTCTCCGATTTTCACCCAAACCCGAACTTGTCTATAAAAACTTGAAAATCCAAAAAGCTTATTTTATTGATTTGGAATTATTGTTAAGATTATGTTAAGTTTTTTTTTGCAGATTTTTTTGCATATTCTTGTATTCAAACATTACAATGTACTAAATTGACTCTAACTAACATTACAAACACTTTCTCTTCATAATTAGATTGGTTTTTTGGTCATAAATTTTTCATGTACTTCTCAATTAATAATATAAAGATAGGATTATTTCCCAATATGTTTAGAGCCTAAACTGAATACTAATCCATGATAAAAGCATCCCTCTCAACATAATTTTCGCTAATCTATTAGCTATTTCATTTTGGTCAAAGTTATTAATTAATTACATTGTACTAGGTTAAAACCCGCGCTATGTGCGGGTAGTATTGTTACTTTTTTTTATCTAAAGTGTTTTTTTCATGTTTGTGAAGCTTTTTTTTTTTAAAAAGTACAAGATAATACTAATACGATAATCTCTCCAGTGTTTCTTTAGTATATTAAATTTTTTTTCCAACAATCATGTGACGTGATGACTAACATTATGAGATTAATTATCTCTCATTTCTAGGTCCCAATTCTGACACCATACACAAATTTAGCAGAAGTGAATGACATTGAATCTCACATAAGTGAAACTCCGACATATTCAGTTAATTAATCAGTTATTTTAAATTTTGAGTTGATTTAAGAGATCTAAGAGAATGAAAGTCAGACTTAAATTTTGAGTTTATTTTGAGTATATTTAAGAAAATGAAAGTCAGTTAATTAATCAGGCATCAGAGAATGCATGATCAGCTTTAATTTTTTTGGTCTTCTCTACTTCAATGAAACTAAATTGTCAACTATGTCAAAAAAAATGGTAATATATTCACAATTCTGACAATGTAATTCCGCTGCCATAATTTTAATATAAATCAAAACTTTTATATATGTTTCAGAGTTACTAATATATTCACAATTCATTTGCCATCAAAAGATCATATAGCTTTCACAAAATTGAAAAAAATTCATCTTTAAAATATTGTTTTGTATAGTTTGGTTCTAAACCATTTTCATATGAGATGCTCTCAATTTTATTTTTTAAAAGATGAAATTTCTCAGTTTTCAATGCATTTTTTTTTAAGTAATACTAATTGTAACTTTGAAGAACAAAAATTGAAATTAATGAATTGTTGTTGGTTAAAAATAATTGTAAATTGTAAATCACAGATAATACATTTATAGTCTATATATATTTAATATAGTTTCTTAATCAACACAGCAAAAGTCTTTGTGCCTCTCCACATGATGACACATAGGATTTTTTAAGCTTTCTGCATCTGACACATCATTAAAAACAAGCAACCAATGGAAACATTCTAAATAATACCACTCACTTTTTTAAATGAAAAAATTAAACACATCAGATTTTCTTTTAAAACACAAAGCTCTTTCTCTGTATCTCTATCTTCTCGCAGTGTAAATTCTCCTGCAAATCTCAAATTCGATCTAAATCTCAATCTCAGCCTCAACATATGTAGTTCTCTTCGCCTGTAATCTCAAATTCGATCCCAACCTGCAATCTCAAACTGACAACCTTCCTAATTCTTTTGAGCTACATGTGCAATATTAGATTAGAAACATATTTTTCCAGATTCGACCTGAATGACGACCAACACATGTATAATAACGGGCTTGAGGTTTGTAAATTTAGATGATAGCATGAGATGAACCGAAAAGAGCAACTATCAAGTCTAATGAAGACTTAGGGACATCTATCAAGAACCGAAAATTCACTATGGTTTTCAACTTTTTATTAGTATCCTTTCCTGAAGAAGGCTCCGAATATGTAAAAGTGACCCCCCTCCAAACCACAACAAATGACAGAAATATCAAATAACTAAGAATTCTTTTGAATGAAATATATAATTCTAGCATCAGAAATACTCTAAAATAGATATGAGAAAGAAAATGATGGTTAATCGTTTCTGCACTTGATAAAAACATGCTATTTAGAGAAGCCTTTTACACAAGAGGTGTGTTTTTAGATATCTATTTGATACCCATTACACATGGAACAGGCAGAAAGTTAACAAACAAAAAAAACCGTGGCATAGATCAGCATGAAGAAACAGTCCAGTTGAAATTATTTTATTTCAATGTTTGAAAAGTTCAACTATGTACTAAATGATTTCTATCCTCTCTAACCAGATCATGAGTTCGGAACAATATAAATTTCAAGTTTAATAACATGGTTTCACAAACTGAATCTTCAAACATGGTCCAAAGATGAAAAAAACACGTTAATGGGTCAACAAACTAACCGCAATTAGAAAGAGATTAGAGTTGCATATGGCTTTTTAGACAACCATATACGTATGAATTAAAAGATAAAAGCATATCTACAAATAGTATAATGTAGTTTTCAATGAGAGTGGTCAAACTTAGAGGTTATACGAAACTACAATCCCAATACATTAAAGTTAGATCTTATTCAAAGTATTCATATATTCATTATGAATCTACCAGAAACGAAACGACAAAAAACAACCATAAATAGACCTCAAGTGTTCCTCTTCGACCTCAGATCAGAAAAACATCAACCAAACATTCAAAGGTATATGATACTACGCTCTGTTTTTGTAACTTTCCTTTAATTTTGTTCACTCTTTAGCTAATTATTCACATATTCAATCAAATGCCTGGAAAAGAAGACAAATTGGCAGCTTTTTCGCAAAGAGGTAGCCTAAAATATGAAGAAGTTTCTACAAAGTATGTGTGGAATCCGAAAAAAAAAAAGACTTGGTCAACGACACAAAGAGAGAAGATCATCGATGGGATAGTTATCAAGGAAAAGATTGACGAGAGTAAAGAGAATAACAAATGCTAGAACAATGTACCCGTGTTCTTTAGCATCGTATAGGCTCGATACCATGAGTCCAACTTTTGTTTTATTATCTGATTATCGTAATATATTTTCTCCCCAAGATTCTAATCTCCACAAATAGCCTTCAATAACAACATAACAAGAAACAAAAAAGTTATTCTGTTAATCTATTCAATCACCTAGAGTAAAACCTCTCTGTGTCAAACAATCGTAGATCAAGTGTTCTTACAGGAACAATCTTTCAAATTGATTAGAAGAGAAAAGAAGGGAAGAAATCCAAGAAAAACAAAGGCAGCACAAAAACTGACAACAGTAGAACATAGCATTAAGCAAAAACATAGAGAAAACAAAAGAAAACCAGATTAGAGATCTAATCAAAATAAAGGAAAAGCATAACGGAATCCTAAGCTAAACCAGAGGCATATCAAAGCAATGGAATTATTACCTGAAACCTCCACGAAGGCAGACCCAAATTCATGACCACTCCTTCCGCTTAAGACACAGAGAATGTAATTCAAACCAAAATCAACTGCAACTGAAAAAACCAAAGTATAAGTACACAATTGACATAAATTGGTCTTCTTCTTACAGCCAACTAAACAGACAATAAACTCTAACCTTATTAAATCCAACAACAATCATACAATTCATGGGACAAATGGAGGATCAAATTCAGATTCAGAAATTGAATAAATCATTCGCACTTTTCACTTTTTCGAAAATTGAAAAACTCAAAAGCCTCCAAAATTTTGAAATGACTTATGAAGCAGCGCAATGTTAACGATTAAGCCTTCCAAATAACGGAAAAAGTGAAACGAAGAGGAAAACTGTTCTTCATCATACAGAAAAGCAGTCGGTTTGTACGGGTTTCCTAGCCCACCCGCAAAACCGAATTGGCAACACACAATATTAAAAAAAAGAAAAGAATTGATAGATCAATTGGGCTTATACGAAATAACAAACAAATTATAACATGATATAAGCCCAAACTGTTTTTTTTTTAATATATATTTAACAA